AAGCTACACGGGGTTACATTGAACTACTCAACGTATAACAATGAGTTGTATTCTTTGGTTCGAACATTTCAGACTTGACAACACTATCTTTGGCCCTGAGAATTTGTGGTGCATACTAACCACGAGTCACTAAAGCACATCAAGTCCCAAGTGAAGTGTAGTGCACGGCATGTAAGCTAGATCGCCTTCATTGACACTTTCCCATACATTGTCAAGTTCAAAAAAGGTAAGGAGAATGTGGTCACCGACACTCTATCTCAAAGATACACACTTGTTACATTACTTGAGTTCAAGTTGATGGGTTTTCTTATGTAAAAGAGCTTTACAAATTTGATTTTGATTTTGGTGACATCTATACTGCGTGTGTTAAGCATGGTCATGACAAGTATCATTTACATGATAGTTATTTTTTGTATGAGAATCGTTTATGTATTCCTAAATATTCACTTAGGAATCTTCTTGTGCATGAAACACATTATGGAGGTTTGATGGGTCATTTTGGTAGGTCTAAAACTTTGAACATGTTTGCCACAAACTTATTAAAACAAGGAATAAAGTATCTAAACTTCACATTCAATCCATCCAATCCATTATATTAAAAAATTCATTCACATGCAATCCATCAATTTAATCCATCACATGCAACAATCTATTCAATCTATCACATACATCACAATCAATTTCTTCTTCGTCCGCCAACACATTTCCTTGCACTCATCTTAATATGTGGTTTTTTTTTTTGTTTATCGACATTTTCGCCTTTCTTGAATGTGCATTTTCCACTTGCAGCAAGTTTTGACTTCTCTTCAACCCTTCGATTCTCTTTCTGCAACAAGATTTGGACACAAAATTACTTCATCTGTGTATCCAAACCTCACGTTTGCCAAGTTTCTTATATACACTTCTACTCAATTCAAGGGGCCAATTTTTCATATAAAATATCGAAATGATTCCACAAATGTGGATATCTGATTGTCTCACATGTGGAGGCTCATCGATTGAATATTCAACATCCCATTGTAGGTCATGAAAAATAATTTTTGCAATAGTTTGAAAATTCTCAAACAGTCATTCAAAAAATAAAGAATCTTTTGTCCATCCATTTGATGACTCCAAATATAAGCATATTCTCCGCTTGACAAAACTACGTATTACTTGAATTTTTTGTATAAAAACTATCACAATAGCTGGTTAATGACATACTTTATTGATCTCTATCGCTTAGCATGATCCAGAATTGGTTTGTTAAGATTATTAACAATTTTTTGTCATTTTAAGTGGTGTTTTGGAGCTAGAAAAGCTAAGGCAGACGCCACAAGCGACAGTCACCTCCGCTCGCAAGCGGTGAGTCCATCGCCCAGAAAACTAAGGCAAGAGAGGCAAGAGGAAGCTTCCACCACTCACAAGCGGCAGCCTCTCCCGCTCGCAAGCAACGCCTTAGACACCCACCGCTGTAGAGTGACGGCAACCCAACTCAAATATTGACCAAGTGTCCCAACTGCAGCGGTACATCCATTCCACTGCTAGTCAGCACAAGCAAGCCCGCCTAGCTATGCTGATGCCCTCCAGTAATCTGACAAGCGAGGAAGATCTGCACCGTTACAAAACTATGCAAGCGGAGCGAGCACACTAGGAGTTATGGCCAGCAACTGCTTCAACAGAATAACTATCATCAACTGCCTAACTACCTAGCGGTTGAAACCGCCTTGTAACTGTTATTTCTACCTGCTATAAATAGGGCCAGATACATGTATGTAGATATACTTCGATTGGAGTATAATAGCGATTACTCTTCCGTGTATTCTAGTTGTCTTCCTATTCTCCGAGAGCTCCAACCCTGTAAGGGAGTTCTCCACGTGAATGGCCAAGGGAGTGGGGATTCTCCTTCTCCCTTGGCCAATACTTTACTGCTTAATTAGTGTAGTTTTTTTTCACTTTCATTTACAATTTTTGTAGAATTAGAAATTCTAGCTTTACTAGTAAGTAATGAAATATCTTCCAGTTCTTCATCTTCACTTTTTTCACACTTTTTCACACTTATATAAACCCTTATTTAAAAAAATTTCACTTCACTGGTTTAGAGCACAGAAAAATTGATTATCCAAGCCTTGTCTTTTGTCACAAACATTTTCAAGGTAGTTTAATGTAGTAAGTTTGTGGGAGCCTTGTTGACCTGCTTAACTACTGGTTCAAATTCAGTTTTGATTAAAAAGAGCTAACAGAAGGGTAAAGCCACTAATGAGGCAGAATTTGAGATAATTAATGGGGCATAGGCGGTGGCCTATTAGGTCGCAGAAATTCCTAGTGACAATAGAGTTTCTTTCTTATAATGTTCCGATTCTGGGTGTCATTGAAGTCTTGTTGTAAATCCCTTAAGGTCAAATATCAGTGATAAGGATTCTCTATAATATGGTTTATATATTTACATCACTTCCTCTTCCCGCTTCCGTATTATACATCTATGTTCGCTTAAACACCAACACCACTCCTTCATCTCATCCAGGAAAACCTAGCCATTAAGTAACGCACAGTTCAGACACAACACTTCTCTTTCACTCTCAATCGCTTAAAATATGTATATATATACACTATGTCATCCGCTCGTGTCCCGCTCGCTCGACCATCACTAGCACCTCCACCGCTCATTTCCGCTCCGCCCGCCTCCGCTCACTTTACTACTTTTACTTACAGCTTTTAGTAGAATTAGAATTTGATCCGCTGCAAAGCGGATCCCCTTACTGCATTTTCTGCCGCTTTTTCAAGATCTGTACTCGATTTGAAATTAATGACTTAAAATCATTGTATTCGACTTGGAAACTCACCAGTTAAAAGAGTATAAATAATTATGATAACTACTCAAGGTCTACAACCACCAATGTTTACCCTATCTGATCATTTTCCATAATCCACCACATTATTTTCTTCAAATGAAAATTCCCTGTGAATGCATACAAAACACCAAATTTTTAGTTAACACCATTCACAATATTTAGGTCATTGAAGTAGTATATCTTCTTACATACAACGAAAACAAAAAAATAGGACCTAATGGTTCGAGCAACAAAATGTGAAAAAATACTAAAGTAACATACAACATAACTGTGTCAGCATTTCAGAATGTACTAAATCATGATGTCAAATATCTAAACTCATCATTTCTTATATACATTAGAAGCACACTTACATGTCAGCATTCAGGGACTCAATCCAGTTATCTTCGAGATGTTCTGCCTTGAATTGACGCTCCCAATCATTAACCAACTAAGAATGAATAAACTAACGAAAATTATTACTGGAAGGACGAAATAGAGACTCATTCAATTGCGCGAATTTCTTTGGGACACACATAAACTGAATAATTGAGTCTTTCGATTGCAAAGGTTACTCCATTTTTATTTTTATTTTGTTAACGACGAGTTCGAGAAAAAGTTCTTCCCTTCCTTGACTTGCGAGTTGTACACGATGGCATTTTTTATTTCCGGTGACGACGGGTTCGAGGCGAAGAAGCTTCCTTCACTAACTTACGAGTCAAAGGCAATCGATTTTATTTTTTTATATATATTTACGACGGCTCGAGAGGACAACTCCTCTGTTTGGATGAGTTGAAGACGATGAAATTGAAAAAAAATTACCTTAGTGTGAAATAACAGAAGTAGAAAAATAAAAAAAAGAATCGTACTTCTGCGCGATCTAAACCATTATTTTTCATTATCCTAGACGGATGATTGTTGAGTGATCACTAACCTGCCAATGGTCCATCACCAGGATCCGTAGCCTTGAAAGTAAACTTTAAATTTATAAATATTGAATATTTAGATTAAAATAATAATAAAATAATAATAATAAAAAAAACACAACATAAAATTTTTATGTTAATAAATATTTTAAGTAAAAATAAGACTTCTATTCAATAATTTGTGTGTATGATAGAATAATGACGATATAAATTAGACCTCCAAATAATTAAAATGAATCCCAACATTATCACGATATTAGATCATTTGAATTGTAAGGTAGTTTTTTATTATTCTTTTTAGAAAATACTATGACCCAATTAAAAAATAAAAATAATATATTTATTTCATTTCATTTAACATTATTATTGAATTTGTTTTCTTTCATTCTGTGTAGTCATTGTCTCAATGTCACAAAAGCTGATCATTTTTTTTTTTGAATTTAAAATCTTTCAAATTCTAACTGTGTGTTATTTAACTATATTTTATTTAATAAATAAAAATAATTACACAAGCTTTTTAGATTCTCAACAAGCTGATTAATTTCTAAATTACATAAAATAATTCTTGCAGATTTTCAAATTCATTCAGTATCGTATGATAACACTTTAAATTTTTCGTATTAATCATTCTTTCCAATTACATTTACAAGACATGTTTTTCACATAATTACTTTTATAATAAAGTATTTTTAGCTAAAAAGTAATTATTTGTATATAAATTTTGTAATATATATTAATATTTATGTAGAAATTATAGCATTAAATTTATAAATATATAAAACTCAAATTTGATTTACTCTAGCCAAATGTAAAGTTGACTTATAATTTTATTTAAACACGGTTTAATACAATATTTATAATATATATATTTCTAAAAAATTATGAGAATTACATAGTAATTTTGTTTTCTTTTTAAAGTAAAAATAATTTAAAGAATAACCGACTAGTTTAAACTCAATTTACAATAGCAGCAAATTGTTTTGAGAGCTAAAAAAAAAAAAAAAATTGATTCGGGAACTAGAAAATACAATTCTTCTAGAATCAATGATGTCGAGAATCTTCAAAACTTAGGTTCTATTTTCTATGGAGATTTTTGTAAATTTTCTACCATTTATTAAATATATATATATACTAAAAGTGATATGTACAAATTATATACTATACCAAAATTTAATATTACATTTCAAAATGTCACATGAATCAATTATTTCAATTCAAAATTTTTGTTGTTCAAAACTCAAATCCAACAAACACACCAAAAAAAAATCCAAAAGTGATCTATACAAATTACTATTTACATCTCTCTTTGAGTAGTGACTGTCTACAAAATTTGGAAATCAAATATTAAGATGACATTTGAAACCAACTAATTAGTGAAAATTATACACAATCTTTTTTGTCTTTGTGGTCATTTAAGAGGATGAGGATGATGATGATGATGAATCATCTGTATCTCTGTGTATTCATTTCCACTGATTCTGATTTCTGAGATCTACCTATCCATCTATCTATCTATTGATCTATCTATTCAGATTGCGACCAAGAATATCACAACATCGACTGCAGAAATAGGATGAACAGAAGAGCTACCAACGAGAAGAATGCAGCAGTTCTTGAAGTTGTGATGCAGCCGCGCGATAGTGAGTGGGCTCCGACTAGATGTACTGAACCGGTGATTTCATCCTTAAGTTGAATGCTCGACGAACCTGACACCAAAGAAGCAGTCGAATCAATGTAGGTAAAACACATCTTGAATTAAGGATACTTTGGGTGTGTTCGTTTGGGGGAAGTCCTCCAAATTATACCATTCATCAATTTTTTTTTTCTTAAAAATATCAAATCAAACACTTATTTTTCATATTTTATATTATACTATAAATTAATATTACATTCAAAACATCACATATTTATATCACATCATACAACTATTACAATTCAATATTTTTACTATTCAAATTCCAACTCAAAATCCAAACCCTCAAATAAACACACCCAAATAGAAATGGTAGAAGCATTGTTTAGGATTACAAATTTTGTTGAACTAAAATTGCCACATTTTGACTTCAAAACGAGGACCCTGTTTACATATGTTTTCAGATTATTTTTGCTACTATTCGACAGTATATTATTCAAGAGAATGTCACATCAAATATCTAATTTTCAGCTTTTCTTGCATACACACTTTTATAATTTTTTTATACTATTTATCTTTTATTGTAAAAAAAAAACAAAACAAAACAAAAAATCACTAACAAATACCTATTTACTCACACAAAACATAAGAGGAAATACCTAAGTTATATCAAAGTATGTACTATTACCAAAACTCTCAAAAACTTCAAAACATATCTAAACACAACTCAAGTTTTTACGGAGGAGGAACCCGATTACGAATAGTGACATCTCAACAGTGATTCTTGTATATAGTGAGTTTAGATTAGATCAATAATCCACCACTACCATTTCCTTTTAAAACATCTAGAATTATTGGGCATGTTTAGATGATTCAAACCAAGTCCGTATCAAAGATAGACTAGTATGCAAAAGATGAAGGTGTTTAACAATTTGATGTTAGTTTTTAGTTGATAGTTGATTCGATTAGAGTTTAGATTAGTTGGTTTGACTAGCTCAACATATTAGCTACCTGCGCTAAAGTGTTTGGTAAAATAGTTATTTATACTTAAAATTGACAATTAAAAGATATTTTATATTTAATTTTTAAAATATTTAGTTGCATTCTTTCGGTGCATAGAATTTTTTTAATTTTTATTATTAGATATTGAAAATTATGAAAGTTTTATGAAAAATTTACTTTTGTTTTTTTTTTAAAAAAAAATTATATAAATTTGATGTATTTTTATTGAAAAATATGGGATTTCTTCAATTAAAAATAGTGTAAAATATAAAATAACAAATTATTAGCATGTCTTTTTATTAGGTTGATTTTTATTAAACTTATAATTTTAATTAAATTTATTCTAATATATTCATTTTTAATAACAAAAATTATATAATAAAAAAATATATTTCCACCATCCTCCAAATTTATTATCACTTTCATCGGCTAAATTTATCTATTACTAATTTTAACAAAGTAAAAAAATAACCCTTTAACTAATTATTATCCATTCATATTTATTTAAAACAAATGTCACTATATTTATTACACTATCTCTTTTTTTAATTTTCCAACTAAATTTTCAAAAATACACTATCACACCATACCAAAATGTGTTAATTTTAATGGACGGGGGAGTATATAAGAATAAATGTTATTTTAACAAACTTAAAAATTTTACAAATAAAATAATTTTCATATAATTAATAATAATTTGAATTATTTTAAACTTATAAAAGTAAATTTATAAGTTATTAAAAGAAAATATATTAAAATAATAAAAAAAAAAACTGCAATAAAAAATTATATTAATACATGTGAAATGAATGTTTAATTCTTAAGGGCAAAAAAGAATAAAAAATTAAAGTGAAAAAGCTAAAAAAGTTGAAAGTGAAGAAATTATTTTGAAAAACTGGGATATTAAGCATTTCAAAAGTCAACTTTTGGGATCAATAAGTTATTTGAAAAAGTTAATTTACCAAATATTTAAATTAGTAAAAAAGCTAAAAGCTCTTTATATCATGCAATATGTTGTGCTTCATCCATCAAAGTACAAAGCGATTAAATACTTACAGTTATATTCAGTCCAACCAATGGATTGCTTTTCAAGGTCGTACAGGACCAACTTGTTCGACAGAACCAAATCTTGAAACATGACAACATGCAAGAGTCAAAAGAGGTTATAATTCAGTTTGTTTACACTTTCTAAACTGGAAGAGTAAAGTAGCTGAAGAGTTTGGAAACCGGAAAACCTCAACAGTTATGATCAGGTTTGAAATGTAATTGATATATGATTGGGGATGCAATGTAATTGCTATAAGTTGAAATTCAAGTGCTGAGCAAAAATCAAAATTGGGTTGGGTGGGGGGCTCACCTCCTAGAACAGTAATGTTCTTTTTATCCTGGGAACCCATGCCACTGTTTTGCCAACCAATACACATCAAATCTTCCTGCCAAAAAAAAATATCGAAAGTTTATTATGGCCTCCTTACCTACTTCATTATCTTAAGAGGATCCTTACTGAGGCTTACAAGTATAAAGTGCAGGAACTTTAGGTTTATATCACTCCTTTAAGCAAAAAAATATCATAAATGTTGTTAAATATACAACTGCATCGACAATTATTGGAAACTAGAATGTCTTTTTTGCCTAAAACTATACCCTATCTATAGGGTATGGATGCAATAAGGTCAGGAAAGTAATCAAGTCTTTCATTTCAGATATGCAATTCTCTCTCCGTTCTTTGAGCTCCAAGATATGCAGCTTCCGAAAAAAAAAAAAACTCTACTCACTCATTCAATACTCTCTCATCATAAATGGCCACAAGAAAACTCGAAACAAAATAATTTCATTAGATACCCATCCAAGCTGTAGGTGAATCTCACCATTGTCCAACTGGAGAATAATTCATTTGAATTTGTACACTTTCAAAATTATCTGCTAGTTGATTTCTTATAGAAACTGTAGTGACGTGTGGATTAATCTACTTTCAAGTTTTTTTCCATAATAAGAACTCATAGGTTACATTTAATAATTTTGCTTCTTAATGATAACTGATATCTTGAAATAGGAATTTCTCCAGCACCATGAATTTATTACTATACCCACTAATAAGATATCACTTTCAGACCAAGGTATTTATTAATGTAAAATTTTGCTAAGAACACAGAAAACATAATAAAAATCATGCTAAACAGAAGGGAATAAACTTGCATTACATTTGAAAACAAAATGAATTAGGCCGATATCATAGCTCATGCTAACAGCCTGTGACATAATAGTTGTAGGGAAGAGTATACTTACAAAGTGGAACAGATAATCATGGGGATAAACCATCAGAGAAAGTGAATTTTCAAAGTGAAGAGTGATGTTCGGGAATCCTTCATCCACCCTACTGCAATGGTACAAAATCATACCAAATCACAACATTTGCTGATGAAAGACCAAACACATTGATCTGATACCAAATATATATATATAGAAAACTCAATATGATTGAAGGATAGTACTATATATAAGAATATATATGAAAATGAGAATCATTATTCAGCATTTGAAGCATAATGGGAAATTCTTGCTCAAATTATTTTATCACGGATTTCTTTAAGGGTTTAACATACAAATTATAATAGAAATACGGAGAGAAGATTGGTTTGGATAATTGTTTCCGGATGCAGTTATACATGGAAATTTCTTGATGCAACATTTTTTTAATCTTTACATGTCTGCTCCCGAGAATTATTGTCAACTGTGAATCAGATTTATTTATTCAAATTACAACACAAAATTTCACATAAAATATGATAACATTTTTGAAGCAATGTGGGAGGTTCAACTGAACATGAATTACAAGTGCCAAGGAGTTTGATGATAGCTAATGTAAAGCAACTCAAAAGACCAAATACTATGCATGTTTGGCGGATAAAACTTATGACAAAGTTCTCTTAACACACAGATGAGATTTAGTACATTACCGAAACAAGAGAGTATCAAAAAACACACGATACCTTTCTGAAAATTCAAAGCAAGTATACTGGTCATGAAGGGTTTGCAATTTCAAATCCGGCTGTGTGGAGAGTATCTAACAGAAACAAAACATAAAGTGTACATACAATGGTAAGCTGCCACTTGTACTCTTGGGTAGGCAAAGTGTATAAAAAAATACAGTGGTGAATTTTGATACCTTTTTTACTAGCGGAACATAAATCGCCTCTGGCAGATATGCCAGTGTAGTACCACTATCGATAATTGCTCCTTTCTTATCTCCAAACAAGACATCAGTAGTTAGATTCAGATAATCGGAACCTACTTGGATTGCAGTCATATTGACATTGTAGTGAGGCCTGCAATTTAATAAAAATATATTATATGAAAACTGAAATTTACGGGTTAACAATTAACATAAGCATATAAAAAAGAGATAATGAGTGTCATTCATGGGGGAAATTGTGGGTGAAAATAATAAACTCAAAACTAGACTGACAATAACATTTTCATTGGGACGTCGATGCCGTAATAAAAAAGATTATCACTCATAAGGATGTTTATTAACCTTCAAAGCTCACAAGTTAGTCCTGGGATCAATGAGTTCCTATACTAGTATTGTTCAAAATTTGAGCAATGTTGACAATGAAGCTAGGGCGTAGCATTTATTTTTTTTCTTTAAAAAAATATTGAAGCAATTCTCAGAATGTGAATGCCACGGTGATTCCTGATGTCTGTGACCTGAAAAATCATTTCCATGAGTCCTGCCTGCACCAGATATCATTCTCTTCAATCCAACAATAATCACTCCCCATGACGACGCTCCATTAATTAATAAGTGTGTGTGAGTGTTCAAACAAACCAACCCTTTATACAGTGTGCAACAGGTCCCCAAACTTGCATCAATGCATAGCATTTTCCAGTATGTCCACACCATCGCAGGTTATCCTTCCATCAATATTATTCTCTGTTATGAGGACACCAGAATGTTATCTATGTACATAACTCATGCTAATTACCTATGATGACGTGCAAGGTAGCTTAAAAGTCGCTTTGATCTCAGCGAGGCTAAAGAATCAACACAATCATAGTAGACACAGAAAATGAACTGCAAGCCAGATGACCCCATAGACCAACAATTAGACATAGTAACTAGCAGAGGGCTACTAGTATGGGGATAAAAGTACATAATAATTGATGCAAACATTGTGACAGCAGAGAATAAACCAACATACCAAAATACACTGTGACAAATGACAATCAGAAACAAATGAAAAGGCATGACTTACTGGTCACGCACCAACGGTGTTGTGTTGACTTGTGGTTGAACAACATGTCCAATAGCAAAGATTCCTCCACCATTGTCGCCATCTAAGCAGTGAGCAAACATTTTTTTAACTTTTCCAGATGAAGCCAGCTGAGAAAGCATTGATGAATTCGATTTTCCAAAGCCCAGTATTCCATCGAGAGCATCATCTGGTGATCCCAGATCACCCGATTGTCCTGCGCCACATCTGTCCAAACAAAATTGCATCGAGTCAGAGCACAAACAAAATATAAATGCAATCGGTGATTCAAGAAAAACAAATAAGCCAGCAGTAAGAGTCCATCAGAATTAGATTGTTCATAAAAGTTATAGCAATAGTATGAATATTTTACTTTATTAATATTAACAACAGCCACAAGTCAAGGGGAGGTCACTATTGTATATCTTTTGCATGTGCAACCACTGTTGCTGGGTCTATGACTATAAATACCAGATTAATTCTTGAAACAAAAGTGGGTAACTGTGCTTCTACTAAAATAGCATAGACACTTCACTTACTGCCGCTTCAAAAATGTCCAGTAAGATCAGTGATAATACAAATAGTTTAGTGCAATAGGAAAATTCAATCCGTAGTTTGTGATACCTTCTAGGACTTTTGATAACATTAACTATGGCAACTGAGACCTATAGTAACCTACCAAGTTCATCATATTGCATTTGTCATCATCATCACCTTAAGATCACATTACATTTGGTTTGAGTTTTCACTACAGCATGGAACATGGAGACATATTTAGTAGAAATAGAACCCATGTTGTATGAAGTACTCTGACAGAAAAGTTTCATAGCATCACACTTGAGGATAGGGCTTCTGTTGAATACAATGCTATCTAAGTGATTGTTAATTAGAAAGTGTCCGAATCTAAGTATCAGACCATTAACCATACAAGAAAGCATGCACTTAAGAATGATTTAACTATGCATTTTTTCAAGATATAGATTAGATTAGAAATGTTACATAGTGATAAAAGCGACAGTGGTACACGGAATAATACATACCCAAAAATAACAGTCCCATTAGCTGATTTGGTTTGTAAATCACCAGAGACTCGATCATATTGGACGACATCCTCAACGAAGTAACCCATGCTATAGCTCCCATCGCCATAAACCTCAGTGTAAAAACATGACGCATTAGCACCACATCCTGATAAGCCTCCACCAATCGCCTTACAAAAGGGTTGATTACATGATACTAGATTTGCCGTAAGAGAATCTTTCGGATTGTAGAGGGTAAGTTCTATCTGCCAAAATAACCACAAGGTAATCAAAGATGAGAATCAAGGGCGAAACACTCCTATTCATACAAAATCTACTCCAATCAACATATGCAGAAACATAAAGATGAGAGTCATACACCATGATAGCCCTTTTTGGGGCACTGGCGGCACTGAATGCAGTTGACCCATGTGATGTCACTTCCTGTGTCAACTTGTACATAGTAATCTTTTGAAGGTGTTCCAATCCCTATTTTCGCATAGTAAAGCCTGCACCGTGAATAATCAAAACACAAGTAAAACAAAACATTGCCAGATTTGACAGGTCAAGATAAGCATAACAGTTCCGATTAATTCTTTCTACTGTTATTGCAGGGGAAACTAAGAGTCAGAGATCTGATAACAATTCTAATGGAAAATATAAATATAAGTATGTCTATATATAGAAAGGGGGTATAAACTCAACTTATTTTGGACAGTAAATTAAGAGCAGCAGACAAAAATTGCTTGCAGAAACAGGAAAGGAAGGGATTTATTTAACTTTTTTAGGCAATGTGATACAAAGTGAAAAGTCGGTATCACAATGGACAGTTAATTACTTATTAAAGACTACGATTAGCAATAAAAACACTTAAGTCTCTGCCACAGCATTAATTTTCATTCTGCTGCTTGTCATCATTTAATGATATATGCAAAACTAGTAGAACGGATTTCCAACTACTAACATTATCCCATTTGACACCTACACTTGAATAAATATTTAGTTTGTAGCATTAGTCCGTTACTTGGCATGTGCATCTGTGCACATAAAATCGTTTGCCTATGAGCATACCATATCGAGACAATTATTATTCAGCTAGTCAAGTACCTAAATATGATGTGAACGCACAACAAAAATGCAATAACGCAATACAGGAAGAATTTAGCCTCAACAACTGCTGTAATACAGAATACATAGTTATCCAAATTCATATGGCAATATACATGTATGGGAACGGAATCACGTGTTCGCCTATACATTTCAGCATCGGTCATAATATCATCATGCATGAACAGTAACTGATAAGATCTATAACATTATCCGGTGCATCAAGATATCATGAATGGATTAAAAACATCGATAAAAATTGAAAACAAATCATTCTTCGGATTAGGCTAAACTTTTAGTCATCAAAGTTGGAACAAGTGTTTGAACCCATAGACCTCCTGAATACAGCAAATGTCATACGAACACAACCTTATTGAACATATTATTTCCAAGCCCCATCAGGGATCATTTCTTTCGTCATTCGGTTATGTGAACATAAAACATATAGTTCTGATCATTTATCCCTGCTTGGCATTCAAGAAAAATTCGACAACACAAATCAGCGAACTTAATCATAGAATTAGTGACCTCCCCATGTTTTCTATATTTATTCTGAACCAAACAAGTAGAAATTTAGAAAACAATGGAACATAAAGAGTGGTATCTAATCCCTACCTTTGATGTATCTTTTGAAGACGAAACCCTTAATTAAAAGATCAACTGGTAAATAATTATTCAATCATCACCACCTATTCAAATTGGTGCATCATGAAATTTTAAAACAAACAAACTTATACTCTACACACAGAAAATCCACGATCAATCTCACATACAACCACACTATCTAATCATTCCACAATACCAACCAAACCAAATATATACTTGGGAAAAATAACTATCCATTAATAGTATCTCTTTCTTTGCTCGAGTTCTTCGATATCCAAGACAAAACCCTAATTAATCTACATTCAACCTCGAATGCGCCTGTGAGCTCATCTATTCCTCAGGGATGAATCCTATTCATTCCTATTCACATCAGCCAAAAGTAATACACTATTTCACTCACACCAAAACTACATACACATAAATCCCGAGACTCAGCACAGTCCTCAAATTCCATTCCAAATAAAAAAAAAAAAAAACCACAAACACTAGAATCCTCAACTATAACAGAGCATTTCCCGCAGCATTCAAGCACGCACAAGTCCCCATCGCGCCATTCCAAAAAATTTCAACCCCAAAACACTCATAAACCCTAGAATCATAAGAAGTTAATACAACTCCAGGATCAAAAACCCATCCAACAACCACCACCAAACTCAATCAAGCACATGCGCTAACAAACTCACGCAATCAAGCAAACCACCACGAGAAAAAAGGGGTAAAAACAGCCCACCCAACGGCGTCGGGGCGGCCGGTGCCACCGAGCGGAAGATCGACTCCGGCGAAGATGGACAGGTGGCGGACGGCGTCGTGGGCCCTAAGCGCACTGAGGGTGGGTCCGGAGCCGTCGAACTTGTAATTGACTCGGATGACTTCATAGCCGAATTCTCCAATTCCGTAGGTTGGATTCAGAAGAACGAAGTTGATCAGCAGCGACAATAGTGGCAGCGAGTGCCGTCGCCGTGAATCCATTTTCTTTTCTCCTTTTTTTTGTTTTCCTGGATTTTTTCGAAGGAGTTCGTATGAACAATATTGGCAGCGTCTGTCTATTTATTTCTCAAGCATAATAATAATAATAATAATAATAATAATAATAATAATAATAATAATAATTCATGCCCGCAAATAATAATTAATTAGTCATGCATAATTGTGTTATTTTTATTTTTTTTGTTATATGTTTAAAAGTTAAACATAGGATGTTCTATGTCTTAAACCCCGATTTTTTATTATTTAAATTATGCAAAAAATACTCCATTCGTCCCGATAATTTATTTTTTATTTTTTATTTCGTCTTATAACAAAGTATTAATTTATTTTTTTTTACGATACTATCTATTTAACATTACAAATATCCTCTCCATTTATAATATATTATGCAAATTTCGTTACTTTTATATCATATAATACTGATAAAGTTTGTTTAGTCTTTTTACTTTTATTTCTACTAAATCTCAATATAATACTAATATTTCTAAAATTTCGTATAAAAAGTAAGTTGATAGATAGATCCCTTGGCAATCTATCTATTTTTTCATTTTTGTCCGTCTCATAACAAAGTATACATTTTTTTTTACAATAATTGTACTATTTATTTAACATTACAAATATTATTTCAATTTACGATATATTACACAAATGTCATTATATTTATATAATACAATACTAACAATGTTAGTTTAGTTTTTTTTTTTATTTATACTATATTTTAATATAATATTAATATTTTTTAAATTCATACAAAAAGTAAATGGATAGACAAATATGAAAGGTCAAATTAAATTTTTCTCTAAACAAAAAATAACAAAAGTACACTCTATATTTCCTCCATAATTGACCCTGTTAGTGACATGGTATTTAGATAAATGATGTATAATTAAGTAATAATAATAAGTCATAGTATTATTTTATTATTTTTATGTAATTAATAGTAATATTAGTAGTTTTAAAATAAATTTAATATTTCTATATGATTTATAAAAATTAAAATATATATTTAAATATTTAAAAATTATATCGCAATAATATATATAATATGATTATCATTTACTTATAATTAATATAAACTAATTTTATAAAAAATGCAGGGTTGTAATCGTAGATTGAATTTTTTTTTTTGATGAAATTAATAAAAATAAAAAAGTTTTGAATGTGTATGGGATATATGATTGTATATATTATGTAGTTAATTAAATTGATTTATAATTGTTAAATGTGTTTAAATTTAATAAATTTTACTCAAAATAAAAAAAAAATGTCAATAGTTATGGGATAAACAAAAATAAAATAGGTGTCAACAGTTATGAGACGGAAGAAGTATATAATATATTTATAATCGCCGTGGTTAGCCTACTGATTAATATCAATAAGCATAGTACTTATTAGTTTTTTAGGGTGTTTGGGAAACAGTTTTTTGAAGAGCTTTTAGCCGTTTGACCGGTAAAAAAGCTAATTTAGGTGTTTGGTAAATTAATTTTTTGAAAGAGGTTTTTGGACCCAAAAAAATTCATTTCTGAAAAGCTCTTTACCCAGCATTTTGAAATAGCTTTTTCGTTTTAATTTTGGTTATCCCTTATTTACCATTAAAATTTAATTATTTATTTTATACATATAAATATATTTTTATATCAATATTTATTAATTATTTTTAATATATTTAATTTATTAAATTATTTTTTTATTTTTGTAAATTTAAAATAATTACTATTATTAATTATTACATATAAATTATTTATTTGTAAAATATATAAATTTTTAAAATTAAATCAAATAGAAAAAATAAAGATTATTAATTTATTTATATATATTAAAATAATAATTAACATACGAAAAATTTATTATTCTATATTTTACATAATTTTAATAAAAAATTATTATTTTTTAGTAATAATTTTCTCAAATCTAAATAATAAAAATAAAAATAAAAATTTTATAATATTTTTATAATTTTTAATAATTAATAACAAAAATTATCATAAATTTCAAATTAAAATAAATAAAATTAAATATTTTAAAAAATAATATATCAATATTCTTGATAGTCATTTTATGTATAAACAGCTAATAGCTAATGTCAAACAAATAGCTACAACTAATTGAATCTTCTAACAACTATAAGCTATTAGTTAATCCAATACTTAATGTTAAATAAAATAATAAAAATGTAATTTTTTTTTTATCTTCTTCTACAAGTCTGCATAATCGTTTTTCTTTCTCCTGCAACGTGATTTTACAATTTATCTCATTCATTCAGCACATATATATATATATATATATTTTAGGACTCATTAATAAATAAATAAATAAATAAACTTAAAAAATCGAAAATCCAGATCAAAATCTAAACATAAGATTTTAAGTTCCTTTAAAAACAAGTTGAATGAAATAAAAATAACATTTAACGAAGAAAAACTAGATGATTGCAGTACATAAAATGAATAGAAAGAAAATAACCTGCAACATAATAATAAATGACAATGTAAAAAATAAAATTTTCGCAAAATAATACTCAAATACACTGTTATAATTACATAAATTTAATTTAATATACATATTTTATATCATTATTTATTTATTTATTTTCATCAAATCAATAAACATAATTTTTTTTTTCTCTAATTTAGGTATAATATGTCAAATCATAATCATTAATTTTCTTTTAAAATTAAACAAAACATAGCCATGAATAAAAGAACATTCTTTTCAAAACTATCTAAAAATTTAAATTAAAAATAAAAATAAAAATACATATCAAACTTCTATAAAGAAACGCCCTGTGTTTGTTGTTTGAAGGAATGGATTTTAAATCCTCTGTTAATCTAATTTTTTTTTTTAAAAATATCAAATCAAATATCTATTTTTTATTTTTTATATTATATTAAAAATCAATTTTACATTCAAAATATTACATCAACACCTATTTATATCACATACATGACTCAAAATCCAAACCCACCCAGACAAACGCACTAACAAATTCTTACGCTAAAAGGCTAATTTTTATATTTTTTCAAAGGCAAAATTTTTTAAAGGTGTGTTCGTTTGTAGAATTTCAACAAAATTCTACTATTCATCCAATTTTTTCCCCCCAAAAACATCAAATCAAATACCTATTTTTTATTTTTTATATTATACTAAAAATTAATTTTACATTTAAAACATCACATCAACACCTATTTATATCACATCATACAACTATTCAAATTCAAAATTTTTACTATTCAAATCCCAACTCAAAATCCAAATCCCCAAACAAACACACCCTAAAAGTGATGATTGATGGGTCATACTTTTATAAAAACCCCGTCTTTACGCCTGTCATTCATTCCCGCGCGCCGGAGCGGGTTTGCAATACGGCGGACAAATTTATACCTAGGGTTCCATCAGACATGCTTACCGGCCGCGAAAGTTTGCTCAGGGTCATCGGAAAACCTCGCCGGTTCCTTCCCAACCGCCGCTCCATACTCTCCGATTCATCATCCACTCTTAAGGTACTTAATTCGTCGTTTTTTGCACTTTACAAAAGTTTGAGTGATCAGACCATCTTTTCGTACTTATATGTAAATATTTATTTAGATTTACATATCTTTGCTCGAATTGATTTTGTGCATTTTCGTTCCTGAATGACAGAGTCGCGCAAGCCGGTCCCAGAACGACGATGCCGTGAAGAGTGCTTCAGGGGAGAACAGTGTTGACGGCGGTGCGGAATCAGTGTGTTGTCCTGTCTGCGGAGCTAGGCTTCCGGCACTGGATAATACTGCCATCAATTCTCATTTAGGTAACTGCGACATATATGTATGTATATATACATACATACGCGCGGACGTGTGTGTACTTCCAGATATTAGGCTATCAGTGTATCAAATGTACATGAGAATTTGTACTTACCATCGTCAATTCATGTTTTTCATGTTGCAATCGTTTATTAGAAATGGGCAGAAGGTAGGATTGGTGAAATATAATTTAGCTTATGAGAAAGGAATCTTATTATATTTGAGTTTCCTATGTCCCTTTCTTTGCAGTCCCAACACCAGTTATTATCTAGTCTTGATTATAAATCATAGCTTTGCTATTGATTCTATCCTTTAATTTGAGTCTCGCACAAATGAAGTCTTGAGTAAAAGAATATATGTTTTGCTTGGTATAAGAAAGTGATTTAGTTTTTTTACAGTGATATGGGGATCTTATAATTTAGTCATTGACAGTAGTTCGGTGGGATTAAAAGGATAGTCTAAGGCACAAGATGATATTGTACAAGAATTGATTTGGGTGTTGACTGTTTATCATATTTTACCCTGTGAGCAGTGAGGGTTGTTGTGTGATTAAGTTTCCTTTGTTTCTTAGAGAGCTCTTTAAACTAGCCAAAGCATTTAGACGAAACAATAAACTAAGAACTGTGGCTAGAGTTAAGGAACACTTTCTATTTATTCATTTTGGTTCAGTTTTCCAACAAACCTCGCTCCCTCGTGGCCCTTCCATTATTTTTACCTCTTTCCAGGTGTGTTTGTTTGGGGGATTGGATTAGATTTCCACTGTTCATCCCATTTTTTTCCCCCAAAAACATCAAATCAAACACCTATTTTTCATTTTTTATATTATACTAAAAATCAATTTTACATTCAAACCATCACATCATACAACTATTCAAATTCAAAATTTTTACCATTCAAATCCCATCTCAAAATCCAAACCCCCAAACAAACACACCCTAGTGTACTGACTAAGACCCAGAATTATTCGTGAAGTACACCAGTTATTCATTGCTTTGACCCTTCCCACCTCCTTATTGTATATTTTGTTCAATATTTGATTTTAACAATGCATCGTATAATTGACGGCTGCAGATGAGTGCCTTTCTAGGGGAAGTAAAAGGAAGTTGAGTCAGCTTACACTTCTTGACTTGAATTTCTCACGGTCAAAAATTAAAGTTGAGTCCAGTCCACTGAATGATGAGGGAAATCAAGTTATACTAAGTGATGCTAATAACACATATGGCCAACTTCATAGTTCAACCGAGTTGGATAACTTTGTCGAGAATGTGGTGGAGAAAGATATTGTCAATCACGACTTTGTCTCAGCACCATTATCTTTACAAAGTGACCACCATGTATATGATATGGAAGAATATCCGGACAATTATGACATATCCAAAGTTTTCCTTCCAACATTTATTGTTGGGCGCAGGCATGGTAGTAGACACAAGCTAGATCTCGAATCAAGGATATGCCTCTCCAGAGATCCTGAAAACGTTAGAGATTCAAATGCTATTAAGGTTTGATTTTTATTTTTGGGCCTTTGTTCTATAATTTTGTCCACTTGATTCACTTAATAAGAGAGTGTTATGTGTCCTTTGGCCAGGTACTTTGTGAAGATGGCAAAAATGATGATATGCTCGGTTATATACCGCGGGAGTTGGCACAGTATCTGGCTCCTTTAATAGATCGATTTGACTTAAAATTTGAGGTAACAAAGCTCTACCGTCGAAGGAGTTATTTTTAGAATAGAATATAGTAGAATATTGGTCGCAATTTTGCTAAAAAATAGTTAAAATTCAAACAAAGCATTTACCCTTATTTTAAAATGAGATTCATTCTCATTGATGGTTCATGAAATTGAAGTATATCAGTTAGCCACAAATACGTATGCCATGCATTTTGTTTTGATCATTAACTTTTACTCTCTGCTCAAATTTAATGAAAACACCAAAGTCCCTGTTCAGAACTTCTACCTCGTAAATTCTTTTATATACATATACAATAATTCAGATGTAATAGTAATCTATTGTTACCCTATCTTTCACTTTAAATTCAATTTTATTTTCTTCACATACACATATTCTTAAATATAAAGACTTGCCATCATTCCTATATTCAATCACACCATTCAGTTATTAATTATGAAATCAATGGATCAATAGATTAAAAATTCTTTTACTGTTCAACTTAAGAAACTGCACCAATTCCCACACCTAAGTTTACATCCAAGGCATGCCTTTGTTTTCACTTTCTTCATGCATGTTATCAATGATATGATTGAGGAATGACATGACATCTATTGGTTGTTGGCACTTAGTTGTTTCTAAGATAGGTTTTTTCTTTTAACAGGGACATATAGCTTCACTACCAAAAAAATCTCATGCTGCTGTTCCAATTCAGATTGTGTGCAGTAATGCTCAATTACTTGATCAACTATATAAGGATAACATGTTGCATTTTATGTCATTATGGAGAGATGTCCAATGTGCTGTCAAGCTTAAAGAGACCAATTCCAATGGGACAACTAGGTATCAGCAGAACCTGGTGATGCTTATACAAGACGTTTTAAAGAATCACCCGCATCTTTTTATGGTCAGTGAGATGTCTTTCCTAGGTACCAATTTAAGTACTTGTTATCATTAAGTATAATATGTTTTCTCATTCACAAAATAGTGATAAAGTTTGTTCATTTTGGTGGCTCCAGAAGCATTCACAAAACTTTCAGATGATAGTCAGAGGCTTTTTGCTCGGCTTTACACGCGCAAAGGTGTAATGTTATATCACACTTTTCTTGCAGTGTAGAATGTGTGATGGATTTTATGATTGTTATCTTGCTTTCTTAACATATATTGCCAAGTTTTTAAAGGTCTTGGTGCCAAAGTATGTTTCAAAATAGGTTAGCTGACATGATCATAAATATGATTGTGACTAATCTGGTATCGGCATATAGCGAGTCCAAGCACTGTTAATTGCCTTTGGAAGTTTCCAGCTTCTGGTTTCTGTACATAGTACCCTGTGAATATATTATGAAAGTGGGCGTTCTGCATGGGCAGTTATCAGTAACGTAAATTTACCAATGAATAATCTGCCAGGATTTGTCATTTGATGGATGCTGAATGAACTTCAAATTAACTAAAAAATTGGGTTTGTTTGGTTTGAGTTTGGGGTTAAATAATATTATAATGTGATATTTTGTGAGTGTGGGAAATCAGAGGAAAGAAGATTGTATTTCCACTATATTTGAATTGATAGTACGCAGAGTTAAAAAAATGAGATTACAATGAGGAAAAAAGGAAATAAACAAACTGATTCTCTCAATTAAGGGACTGACTAAATCCCTCAATTTAAGGGATTACAAATCAATTCTCTAAACATATTTGAATTACAAATTGATTCTCCTAACATATTTACATTATAACTCAGTTATTCTTTGACAATCCCCCTCAAGCTGAGGAATAGATGTCTTCCATTCCTAGCTTGAACTATTCAGCCCCTTTGTTAGAACATCTGCTAATTGTTTCTTTTAACATATTTGAATTACAAATTAATTCTCTTAACATATTTGAATAACATATTGATTCTCCTAACATATTTACATTATAACTCAGCTATTCTTTGACACTCCCCCTCAAACTAAGGAATATATGTCTTCCATTCTTAGCTTGGATACAAGATCATGGAAACTTGAACCATTCAGCCCCTTTGTTAGAACACCTGCTAATTGTTTCTCTGATGACATACATACTAACCCTTCTTCTAGTTTTTCTTTGATAAAATATCTATCAATTTAAATATGCTTTTTCCTATCATGTTGTATAAGATTATGAGCTATATTAATAGCTGACTTGTTGTCACAGTAGAGCTTCATAGGACCTTCCCATTTGACTTTCAAATCATCCAAAATGATCCTCAACCATAGCAATTCGCATAATCCTTGAGCAATTGCCCTAAATTCTGATTCTGCTGATGACCTTGCCACTATAATGTCCTCATACATTATAATGTCCCATTTTATTTTTGGGTTGATTCTATTCTTACATCATGTTTCCTCATCAATCCTCTTCCATCTGCTATCTTAGGACATAAGATTCCCATAACATGTCTTCAGCCTAATATGTTCCTGTACCTTTTACCTCTCCGTGTATTTGGTTGTACGTACTTTGTTCATAACCATTCCCCTGAATTGGACAAATTATGTTCTCGATCCGTCAAATGTGTTTTTCTTGGGTACTCTCGAGTTCAAAAAAGATATAAATGTTATTCTCCTCTCACTCGTTGATATTACCTTAGTGCGGATGTCACGTTCTTTGAGTCATCACCATACTTTACAGTGTCATCATCTCCATCCTCAATGCCCTTGACTCATTTTCCAGTTGTCTCCATTCTTAATCCTCCACTTCTAGTCTATAGTCGCCATACATGGGAGCATCAGAACATACCTACTCCACCATCACTTACGCCTATTGATGACTCATCTCCGGTTCCATCTCCTTACCCGGTTGCGACTCCTCAGCACCTGTCGTCCCACGTCGAGGTACATGGTCCACTCGTAATCCAAATCCTATTTATAATTTTCTTAGTTATCACCGTTATATTCTTTCATGTGCAGTGTTGTGACTGCTTTAGACTCTATCACTGTCCTCGCTCTTGGCGTGAGGCTTTGGGTCATTCAGGGTGGTGTTAGACTATGATGGAGGAAATGTCTGCTTTGTACACTAACAATACTTGGGAGTTGGTTCCGTTACCGCTAGGAAAGACACCTGTAGCTTGCGGAAGGGTTTATGCAGTCAAAGTTGGACCTGATGGTCGCATTGATCGACTTAAAGCTCGACTTGTTGCAAAGGGCTTTACTCAAGTGTATGGGAAGGATTATACAGAAACCTTCTTTCCCGTTGCCAAAATGTCTTATGTTCGTCTTTTTCTTTTAATGGCAGCAATGCGTGGTTGGCTCTTCATCAGCTTGACATTAAAAATGCCTTTTTGCATGGTGAGCTTAAAGAAGATGTATATATATGGAGCAATCTCCTGGTTTTGTTGCTCAGTGGAAGTCTGGTCTTGTATGTCGCCTTTGTCGTTCACTCCATGGCTTGAAACAGTCTCCACGGGCATGGTTTGGACGTTTCAGTCTTGTTATTAAAGAATTTGGTATATGACACAATGTTTGTCTGATCATACCGTATTCTTCAAGCATAATTTAGAAGTGTGACTCGTTTACTTAATTGAGATGATATGGATGGTATTACAAAGTTAAAGGAGCATTTACACAATCATTTCTAGACCAAAGACTTAGGACCACTACGGTACCTCTTAGGAATTGAGATTGCCCATTTGGGGTGTGTTTGTTTGGGGGTTTGGATTTTGAGTTGGGATTTGAATAGTAAAAATTTTAAATTTGAATAGTTGTATGATGTGATATAAATAGGTGTTGATGTGATGTTTTGAATGTAAAATTGATTTTTAGTATAATATAAAAAATGAAAAATAGATATTTGATTTGATATTTTTTGGAAAAAAAAATGGGATGAATAGTGAAAATTAAATCCAATCCCCCAATCAAACACACCCTTGAAGAATGGTGTTATCCCATCTAAGAGAAAATATGTTCTTGATATGTTAGAAGAAACATGTATGAATGAATGTAAGGTTATGGATTCCCCTATGGATCCGAATACAAAATTGCTTCCAGGACACGGGAAGCCATTGGCTGATATTGATGTTGGATGATATAGACGGCTGGTTGAAAAACTTGATTATCTCACTTTCACCTAACCAGATATATCATTTGTAGTAAATGTAGTGAGTCAATTCATGCAGTCTCCATGTGACTCACTAGAAGACACTTATGTGTATTTTACGGTATATTAGAGGGTCTCCCGGAAAAGGATTACTTTATACAAATCATGGTCATTCTGAAATCGTTGGATATTCAGATGCTGATTGGGCTGGGTCTCCAATCGATAGGCGTTTTACCTCTGGTTATTGCGTGTTTATTAGAGGCAATTTGATATCTTGGAAAAGTAAAAAACAAGATGTGGTTGCGCTCTCTAGTGCTGAGGCTGAATATCGTGCTATGGCCTTAGCTACATGTGAGCTTCTTTGGATTAAACAATTACTTTGTGAACTCAAGTTATGTGATGTGATGAAGATGAAGTTATGGTGTGATAACCAAACAACACTATACATTGTATCAAATCCAGTATTTCATAAACGAACGAAGCATATCGAAATAGATTTTCACTTCATCAGAAATAAATTATTATCTGGATATATAGATACTAAATATGTGCCTTCAGATGATCAACTTGCAGACATGTCTACGAAAACTCTAGGAGGTCCTAGATCTCAGTTCATCTGCAACAAGCTTGGATCGTATGATTTGTATGCTCCAGTTTGAGGGGAATTGTTAGATTTACTAGATTCATATCCATATTTATATCCATATTCATATTCATATCTTATCCATATTTGTAATTTAGTTAGGATAGATTTTCTAATTTGCTATATATATGTAATATTCCTTTTACTTTTTGGGTGTGTTTGTTTGGGGGTTTGGATTTTGAGTTTGGATTTGAATAGTAAAAATTTTAAATTTGAATAGTTTTATGATGTGATACAAATAGGCGTTGATGTGATGTTTTGAATGTAAAATTGATTTTTAGTATAATATAAAAAATGAAAAATCGGTGTTTGATTTGATGTTTTTTGGGGGAAAAAATGGGATGTATAGTGGAAATCTAATCCAATCCTCCAAACAAACACACCCTTTTTTGGAATAATATAATTCTATTTTTCCCCCTATTTCTCTACATTTACATGTGCAGTTGGCCATAATGAGGCAATATTGTTTTGTCTTTCAGGGCCATGGTTTCGGATGTCTAATATTTCATACTCAGAGATAGCTGACTGCCACCAAGCAGTAAAGGGACTCTTAGGTAAAATCTCATATATACAATTTTTTTTTCTACCTTTTAATTTATTCTCTTTCTTTCATCATTTTGAACTATATGTTGTAAATGGCTTGTACTTCTGCTATTGTAGAAGCAGGCTATGTATGTACCTTTCCATGGGAGAATGGACAAGAAAACAGTATATTAGAGGAGGTCCTTACAACGCTTAGCGTTGATGAGCTACGTGAAGCTTTACGGGTGCTTAATGAGGTTTGTGATATGCACAGTTTTTCCTAGTTGTAGAAGTACACTGTAGTTAGAGGCACTTGGGAAATGCAACGTTGTCTCGTGCTGCAGAGAGGTGCCTTATGAATCCTATCCTTCACCTTTTCATTTTTAACTTTATATTAAAGGGAAACAATATCTAGGGTAAGAAAAAGTCATATTTCGATGTTGTAACCATCTTTTCCTTCTACACTGTGGTTCTCGTTAAGGGTGGTCATCTATTGTGTGTGTGGATATTTTGCATTGACTTTTTTTTACTATCAGTATGTCGTTTACTTGTTTTCGTAGTTTTGAGATGTAAAAATTGGTAAAGTTTAGGAAGTACATTTTACATTCATTACTCAATTACCTTGCACCGATGTTTGATGGTCTGGGTGGATTCCCTATATTGTGTATTTTATCATTAAAAGAATTCCGAAATTGCAATATTTTGGATCTTGGACTTCTTGAGGTTGGTTAACTGTATCTGCTACAATTAACCAAGGCCATAGCTACAATGTGCACTAGATATGGCAATAAATTCACCTTAACTATCTACTTGCACAAATAGTTGTCTAGTGTGAAAGCAGCCTATGCTCCTTGGAGAAGTGAGAGAGATGCATAACCAAATTTAAAAAGCTATGAATTTGATCGTCTCAAATGATATTTCAGAAATGTAGCCATGGTACACGAAAGCAAGACCTTATTGATTTGATTTTATCTTCAAGGAAGAATTTGATAAGGTACATTTCAGGCGATTCATTTTGTGTGCATCAATTCCGGACTATTCTCTCACTTGCTTTAGCATTATCATTTCATGCAGGCCTGAGCTGCAGAGCTTTGTGATAGGAATAACGGGTTCATGTATCAGAATATCTCCATTAGCTGAATCTCTAATATGGCGTGCTGAAGTGAGTTTCTTTTGTTTAATGCATATTGCTCCTTACACATAAATGCATTGTGTTTAAAAGATTATGTTGTTTACATTGGTGGCCACAGCTCACAAGAGTGGACAGCACATTCTATTAGGATATATATATATATCTTAATATAAAACCAAATATGATTATGCTTTCTTCATCAATTAAGAATATAGTGAATGAAGTGAGTAGTAAACATGACTCAATATCAAGACCACAGTCCATGTCCAATGCCTTCGCTGGCAACGTCCAATGCTCGTCTGTTCTCTGGCCTTAACTTCAAGACTCTTACTGATTCAACAAAATGCAGCTGTGAGCTGTTAACTTATCTATACCCTGATGTTAAACACACAATCTATGCTTAAACTAAGGCTTAAATATACAGATAACATTTCATCAGGGCAAATATAGTCACAAGTCTTACTATGCTCTCTCCTTCAGTTTGCCTGTGTAGCATAGTTTTAAGAGGAGGATTTGAAGCTTGAATGAATTGCATCTCAACATCCTGCTTCAGCTTGATAAGAAATCAGATATATTTCGTTTCCGAAGATTTGGCAGATACTTGCATGTCATGATCAATTGCAAGTTCGCAAATCTTATGCATGGATGCATCCTTGTTTCTTGATCATTATTTATTGTGGTTAAGTTCTAATCTATTATTTTTTTTCTCCTTGTACAGAGGCTTTTCTTCCTTAATGGAGAACAAGATCTATCATCATTTTTATTAGTTGATTTAGGCATTGTGAAATATCCTGCTTACAGATGTATAATCTCGGGGCAGATCTTTTCAAACAGGAGTGATTTCCTCGCTTATGAAGAGGTATGATTTCTGTCTGAATGTGTTCATGAAAACATGTAGGGCCATTTGATGGATAATTATTACTGCAGGCTATTGAAATCTCACAAATAATGGTCGAGTCACTTGATGAGAACAAATGTGAGTTAGTTTTAAGATGTATAGAGGTTTCTGCTTCGCGCATGTCAACTTCTTTGGAAGCAAGCACGCCGTCAGGTGGTGAATCAAATGCATCTTTTCTATTCTATTTTTCGGCTCCATGGGTCTACTCTAAGGTGGTCTTATTAGGTATCTCGTTTTTCGAGCGTGAGAAGAGGTAATGGTATTCACTTTTAAAATCTTTTTTCATTTGCAACACCTTTTCTGAAAGTTTGTAACTAATATTTTAATGCTGCCCAATTGCTTCTAAGTTTACCTTAACTGAATAAAGTGTTAATTTAGGTGTGTTCACTTTGAGCATGTAAAGAATGACTTTGCTAGAGCTAATGGGTGACTTTGTAGCAATCTCACCAACTAGTTCTCTGGGAAATCAGAGATGAGAGAAAAAAAGATTATGTATTTCCTCGTTGTTTTGAGTTGATAATAGACGGTGTTAAATAGGGGATTGCAAGGAGAAAAATGCAAAGTAATTAACTAATTCCCAATTTAAAGGATTGACTAATCCCCTCAATTTAAGGAATTACAAATTGATTCTCCTAATAGATTTATAGAGCTGTCAGCTCAGATACTCCATAACACTCCCCCTCAAGCTGAGGAATAGATGTCCTTCATTCTAAGCTTCGATACAAGATCATGGAAACTCGAACTGTTCGGCCCCTTTGTTAGAAAATCGGCTAATTGTCTCTGATGGAACATAGGACATACATACTAATCCTTCCTCCAGTTTTTCTTTGATAAAATATCTATCAATTTAAATATGCTTTGTCCTATCATGCTGTATAAGATTATGAGCTATATTAATAGCTGACTTGTTGTCACAATAGAGCTTCATAGGACCCTCCCATTTGACTTTCAAATCATCCAAAATGATCCTCAGCTAAAGTAATTCACATAATCAAGAATTTTGATTCCGCAGATGACCTTGCCACTACATTCTGCTTCTTGCTCCTCTATGTCACTAGATTACCTCCAAGAAAAGTACAATACCCTGTAGTTGACCTTCTATCCACTAGGGAGCCAGCATAGTCAACATCGGTGTAGGCTTCCAGAGTAAGAGTCCTTCTTGAACAAGGTTTCTTTCCTCAGATTACCTTTCAAGTAATGCAGTACTTGTGAGTAGCCTGAAGACGAGGTTTTCTTGGATCATGCATGAATTGACTGATTATACTTACATAATATGCAATGTCTGGTCGAGTGTGAGCAACGTATATGAGTTTGCCAACCAACCTTTGGCATATTCTTTTATCCACAATTGGTTCTTCTTTAGCTTCTTCCAACTTATAGTTTCGATCTATTGTAGTAGAGATCGGCTTACACCTAATTTCCTCTGCCAATAAATCTATCACGTACTTTTGCTGAGATAAGAAGATCCCTTGTGTGGAATATGCCACCTCAATACCAAGGAAGTACTTTAATTTTCCCAGTTCCTTTATTTCAAATTCTTTCATTAGTCTCAGCTTCAATTCATGCTTCTCTTTCTCATCATTTGTAGTCACTATGATGTCGTCCACATAGACTAACATTCAACTGAGATAAATCTTGGCAACTCTAGCCGAATTCTCAAAGGTGATTTTGAAAACCTCTGGATTGCAGCAGACGACAACAAGGCATGACATCGAGGGTAGCGCAACAGTGGAGGTCGACACACTGCCGCCACCGGTGATTCCGTTGCTGTAACTAGAAACCAACCCTAGATTGCCAATGAACATTGCAACTTTCGTCCTTTGACGGTTAAGATCTGATAGGCTGGTTAGCCCGTGCTAATCAACAATTTGAGATTCATAACCCTAGTTTAACGATGAAGGTGCCATCGGCCGTGATGACCATAGAAGAGGTTGCATTGTACTGGTCAATTTGGTTGCGTTCTCGAAAATCGAGTTTAACATGGGATACACTTGTTTGTGGTAAGATTCGATATGGGTTTCATGGAAAATCCTTTTGGACGATTGGTGGACATTAAACAGAAAGGATCAGTGGATGACTACGAACTCTATTTGTTCAATTGGATAGCCAAGTTTTGGATTTGACAGATGTGCACTATCAGGGTTACTTTAGGACAAGTCTAAAGGATCCGATTCAAAATTCCCTCCGCCTTTTTTCGGCCTAGGGATTTAAAAACGGCCATGGAGTTGTGTAGAAGCATTGGGGATAATCTTTAGGTGCAAGCTAGCAGACAGCTACCGCAAAATTTGAGCAGCCCGACACCGCACGTAAGCTTTATTTCCAGAGCAAGCAACATGATTAGGGTTTTAACAACAGAGGTCAACCATAATGGATTTATTAGCAAACTTTTTGATAATCCTTCCGTGGCTCAATTGGAGACAACTAGTCAATCAACAGTTACTCTTCTCTCACCCCAAGAATTTGTTGAATTGCGAGTCAAAGGTCTGTGTTCTTGTTGCAAGAAACCATACACCCTGAAACATAAATGCCCCGTTAAACAATTGCGTGTTGTGATAGCTGAGGAAGGCGAATATGTCTTAGATCTTCAACAATTTGAATATATGTAAGTACCGAGCATGAAGATTGGATAGGAGAGCAAGTAGATGCATTGATCGAAAAAAGAACCTTAGCGTTTTTCTTTGTAGAGGGCTTTCCGAGCCAACGGACTATGTGGTTGCATGGAGTTTTGTGAGGAAGGAAGGTAACAATATTAATTTGTAGTGGCGCTAGTCACAATTTTATATTTTTTTCCTTAGTATTCACTTTACGACTCCTACCCGATCGTACAAAAAGATTTGTAGTTCAGCTAGGGGATGGACAAAGACTGGAATCCGAAGGGTTATACCGGGATGTTATGGTCTCATTATCGGGCTGTAAGGTAACGACCGATTGTTTTGTGTTTCCCCTCAAGGATATTGATGTTATTTTTGGTACAGCTTGGTTAGCCATATTGGGTGAGGTCTGAACAAATTGGGGAGCGTTGACTATGTCATTTAAGCGGAAAGGTGGTCAAGTAGTGCTGACGGGTGACCAAGCCTTTGTCGTAATCCAATCATCCGAGAGATGTTGGATTGAGCCCATGATGAAGGAGAACAAGAACAAAATCAAATTTTGCTTAAGTGGGCCGGACAATTGAACGATGAAACGACTTGGAAGTGTAGCTCATTTCCAATTCTCATACTTCGACCTTAGGGACAAGGTTGATTTGAAAGGGGATGAAATTGAGAATAAAGAAAGTGGAGTCTCGGCCATTGTTTATATATCTACGAAGGGTACGGGCTTAGGCCTCCTATTTGTGGGTTTAAATTTTATTTTTTAGCTTTTCTATTAAAATATTATATTTTGAGTTGGGCTTGCCTTTAGCTATTAGGTGGAATTATTTTATTTTTAGTAAGTAGGATTTAGTATAAATATTTAAATATATTAGGGTTTAGAAAACATTATTCTTGATATTGAAAATAAAGGAGCTTGGTGGCTTTTAGGCAAGCAGTTGATTCCGTTTGTTTATTCTATGGGCAAACGATTGATATCGTTTGATTTTAATGTTTTTATCTTGTTCTAACAAACAGTCAAATAGTCAAACATGCAAAAAATTGAATGAAATCAAGTGGACAAAGTCATCATTAGTTAGTTGTATGGTAAATTGTTGCATTTAGATGTTTATTGTACTTGAAGATACTTATTGAGCATATCATTTATGTTTGATCTTAGAAAATTTCTGTGTAGAATTCTTCTGGGAGTTACATTTTTAGCTTTCATAGGTACATTGAAGCCATATCTCTGCTCAGACAGCTGTTAAGTACATTTATCTCTGATGGAAGAAGGGGGTATTGGACTTTAAGACTGTCGGTTGATTTAGAACATCTTGGCCGCATAGATGAAAGCCTTCAGGTTGCAGAAGATGGTTTACTTGATCCATGGGTACGTGCTGGATCAAAAGTAGCCTTGCAAAGGAGAGTGTTGCGCTTGGGGAAACCACCGAGGCGATGGAAAATACCCAATTATGCAAAATATGTTGCGAGGAAGATTCCGGAGGTGAGTGTAATTGAAAGAGTTGCATAAAACTTCCTTGGTGTTCCGACTTATGGAAGCTCCACTTCATTCCAAAGCTAATACCAAAACTCCACAATCACTCTGTATTCTGATCTACGCTACCATTTTGTTGGTGTCGAACATTTCCATTTCCGTGATATAATTTGGCTAATTGTTTGATTGGATTGAAAATTAGGTTCGTGTTCAAGGAAGACCCTTGAATTGTAAAACAGGGATGAAGAGCGTATTTTACGGCGAAGATGGAGCGCAATGTGGGGTAGAACAGCTTGCACTGCAATATTATGCCGGGGAAGGAGGTGGTTGGCAGGGCGTTCATTCAGAGAGCGGCATTTGGCTAACCATTTTCGGCCTCTTGATGTGGGATGCTATATTTGCTGATGTACCAGATGTTTTCCGCACCAAATTTCAGGTAACTTTTGGGGCCAAATTAAAAGTAGAGAATTCAGCGGTAGCATATCTATGTGTTAACAGATAGCACACGATATAATTAATAACAATATAAACTAACAACACGTGCCATAGTTCTACACAATACATCCTATTATTGATTTTAGAACAAAAGATATATTTATGTGCTGTGTTAAATAAAAATTTGTTTTACATGTGTTGACCGGAATGAATCAGTACTATGCTGATATATCCCGCTGTCCATTTCCAAACTAGAGAATAATTATTAGCAAAAATCTAGGCACTGCTCGAATAATTAAAGCATAGATTGCAGGAAATGATGGTCCATGTTTTTATTTTGAGCGTGTAATTTCTAAAATTAGTTTTTTGCTACATACTTGTAATGCTTTTCCTTGCTTAGTTGTAGCGCAACACTAAACTAAAACCTTGTTATGTAGGCGAGCCTTTTAGAACTGTTTGTGCTTCTTAGCCACCATAAATCGGAGAAAGCTAATTGCTCGTAGCAAGCAAAGTACCTTTGTTCAAACCATGCATGTCCATATGGATCTTTAATCACTAATCAATTGGAGAGTTGATTTCTATGGTTATGGTGTCACCTCTGGCTGTTCAAGAACAAGAAAAGGCGACGTAGTTGTTCCTGCAGTAAAATCTATTTTTTCTGACTGGGGAATTGAAGGTTCCGATTTGTCTTGTCTTGTGCTGTGCAGACAGCACCCTTGGATCTCGGCAGCGACAGCTTCTACGAAGCCAGAAAAGGCCCGATAGAAGCCCTTCTTGAGAAAATCCACAACGGCATGGCAGAGGAGATGCTCATCACGTCGTGGGAATCACAGGCGGGAACTGCGTGTCGAGGGGTCAACTGGGAGAAGCATTCGCTGTGTGATCTGCGAGCGGCTGTCACATGCATAGGGGGGCCCAGCCTCTCATTGTTGTGCCGCCATCTGGCTCAAGATTACCGCAGCTGGTCCAGCGGGATGCCCGACTTACTCCTCTGGCGCTTCCTCCGCGACTCCTACAGAGGGGAAGCTAAGCTTGTGGAAGTGAAAGGCCCCCAGGATAGGCTCTCGGAGCAGCAACGAGCATGGCTTCTGCTTCTAACTGACTCTGGCTTTCATGTCGAGATCTGCAAGGTAAGTTAACGTCCACTAATGAATAATTTGAATTGAGCTATTATTATCATCATCATCATCATTATTATTATTATTATTAATTCCTTTGTAATAAGCAGATATTATTAAAATTATTAGATTAATTTACTTTTTTCTTTCAATTATTATTATTTCTTTTTTTTTAAAAAAAAACTTTAAAGCTCTTAAAAGTTTGTTTAGATGGAGTCTGTTGATCTGTTTGATTTAAATGAAAGACAAAAAAGAGGAAGAGGTTTTAATGGAGGAGAAAGAGGAGAAAATATTAAAATTAGTGTGTTGGATTTATGTGGAATGGAATAGAAAAATACAAAATAAAATCAAATACTTTTAGTATTTTGTTCATATAATAAATAAATAAAGAAAAATAAAAATATTTAATAAGATTTGATTAATTTATTTAAAAATATAATTATATATTAGTTTATATAATAAATTTGATTAAATGTAATTTTTTATGTAACAAATTTGATTAAAATGTTTAATTAAAAATATTTTAAAATATAACTAAATAAATGCAATTTATATTAGATCATATAAATTTTATTAAAATCAAAAGATAGATAAATAATAATTTTACGTACAAATAGCTATATATATAACCAAATTTATATAAATTAGGTTAATTATAAAAATTAATTCTAATAATTTATATTAATTTAAATATATTTATTTGATTAAATCAATTATTAAAATTAAATTCAACCATGTTTATTCAAATATATTTTGTTATATATATAATTATATACTTAGTTGTTATAAAATAAGTAGATAAGTAAACTATATAGATAAAGATATTTTTATATATAACAATATATGTGTTTAGTAAATAGAGGGAATTATATAATATTATATATATATGTATGTATGTTTGTATATTTCATAGAGAGAGATACACAGATGAGAGAGATTGAGATTGAGATTGAGAGACATAAGACACCAAGGAGAGATTGAGATTGAGAGACATAAGACACCAAGGGTGTGTTTGTTTGAGGATTGGATTTTAAATATATTATTCAAACACATTTATTTTTCTCAAAAACATCAAATCAAACACCTATTTTTTATTTTTTATATTATACTAAAAATTAATTTTACATTCAAAACATCATATCAACACCTATTTACATTACACCATACAACTATTCAAATTCAAAATTTTTACTATTCAAATCACAACTCAAAATCCAAAACACCCAAACAAACACACCCCAAAGTCATCACATTTATTTAATCAATCACCTATTTATAGGCAATTTACAAACATATTAGTCTATACAGATTTATAACAACTATCATATTAAATGAATCATCAAATGATTTCAATTAATTGACACATACACAAGACATCTCATAACACTCTTTTATGTATCACTAATTGTAACAAATACGTCTCACTAAAATCTTGTTACCAAAAAAATTCAATGGGACAAAAATTCTAGTCAAGGAAAAAAGTAATAATTCATGCATTAAAATCTCGCTCTCCTTGATGTGGACATCAATTGAAATCCCGTTCCCCTTGATGTGGACATCAATTGAAATCCCGCAATCGACGCATCCCGATGTTTTTTTATCAATTTTTCGAACATTGCAGTCGGTAAAGTCTTAGTTAATAAATATGCTAAATTATTATTGGATCAAATCTACAACATATCTATTTCATCATTTTTCTAAAGATCATGAGTAAATAAAATTTTTTCGGTAAAATATGTTTCGTTCTATCTCTCTATTGATATATCCTCATTTCAATTGCGTTATACAAACAATATTATATTCATATAAATAACATGAGAATTATCATTTCCAGATCTCAAACGACAATTTTTTAAGATATGGTAAGTCATTGATCTCAACAATACACATTCTTTAACTAGTTTCATGAATTGCTATTATTTCAGCATGATTCAAAGATGTTGTGGTTAATATTTGTTTAGTGGATCTCCAGGATACCACTGTACCGCCGCAAGTAAATATATAGTCAGTCTGAAACTTGACTCTATGCGGGTCAGAAAGATACCCATCCTCTGCATATCCAATCAATTCATGTCGGGAATTCTTTGAATATAATAAACCGAAATCAATCGTTCTTTGGAGATAACGAAAAATATGTTTAATGCCTTTCCAATGTCGTTGTATTGGTATTGCACTAAATCTTACTAATAAATTTACAGCAAATGCTATGTCTGGTATTGTATAGTTAATCAGATACATTAGTGCGGCAATAACACGTAAATATGGTACTTCAGGACCGAGTGCTTTCTCACCCTCTTCTTTTGGTCTAAAAGGATTCTTAATATGATCGAGAGTTCTAACGACCATTGAAGTACTTAATAAATGTGTTTTATCCATTGCAAATCGTTCAATACCTTTTGGTTATAAGCAGATTGATGAATCAAAATTATATTTTCCAAATGTTCTAGTTGTAGACTAAGGCAGAATTTCATTTTTTTTTGAAATCTTTGATTCTAAACTCTCTTTTCAAATATTTAATAGTTTTTTGGACCTCTTCAGGGGTTCCAATCAAATTCAAGTCATCAACATAAATAACTATTATTAAAAATTTTCTCCCATTTTTTTTTCTTATAAAAACAAATGGGAAAACAGAATCAATGACATATTCCTCTTTTAATAATGATTCAATGAGACGATTATATCAGATACGACTAGATTGCTTGAGCTCATACAAAGATTTTTATAATTTAATAGAACAACATTCTTTTGGCTTTGTTTTGTATGCTTAAGGCATACTGAATCCTTCAGGGATTCTCATATAGATTTCAATATCTAATGAGCTATGTAAATAGACAGTTACGACGTCCATCAAACGCATATCCAAAATTTTATGTACTGCCAAACTGACAAGATATCAAAATATTATTTCATCAATTATTGGATAATATGTTTTATTAAAATCAATTTCAGGTCTTTATGAAAAACCTTGGGCAACAAGTCTTACTTTATATCTGACAATATCATTATTTTTATTTTATTTTTCGAACAAATATCCATTTATAGCCACAGGCTTAACATTTTTAGGTGTTTGTACAATAGGCTCGAAAAACTTTTCTTTTTTTTTAATGAATTTAATTTAGACCGGATCGCATCTTTTCATTTTGGCAAATATTTTCTTTTCTGACATTCATTAACTGGTCTAGGTTCAAGATCCTCATCATTTTCCATTTAATCAAGTGCTACATTATATGCAAATGCATTATCTATAATTATGTCCTTTCGGTTTCAATATTTTTCAGTAGTAATATAATTTATTGAATTTGCAATAACATCATTCTCTTCAAGAGAAATTATTTCTGGTTCAACTTCTTCATGAAGTTCATTAGGATTAAATTTTTTCAGAAAGTTTATTAGAATCAATTTTTTTAGGAAACATTCAAACCTTCAACTTATTCCTATTTTTTTTCGAGAATTTTTATCTTTGGAACCTAAAGGTCTGTCACGCTTTAGACGTGCATTCGTTTCATTAGCACTTTGAATATGTCCTTCAGGAACAATAATTTTCGCCGGTGCATTATTTGCAGCTATATATGATCTGGTGACTATACTGGGTCGCAAAAAACATCAAGTAACTGATTTGCTATCCGCTGCAAATGTACAATTCTTTGCAATTCTAATTCACTTTGGCTATTACGAGGATCAAGAAAATTGAAAGGTACTTTCCAAATAATTTCCTTTTTCAATTGATCAGTTTCTCCCCTAATGTCGAGAAATGCGACTCGTCAAAATGGCAGTAAACAAATCGAGTTGTAAATAAATCACTAGTTAATAGTTCAAGATATTTAATAACAGATGGTAATTCATACCTCACATATATCTCAAATCTCAGTTGGGGGACCATTTTTTTTCATTTGGGCGGTGCTACTGGCACATAAACTACGCACCCAAATGTTCAAAAATATGATATATTAGGTTTTTCATTGTACAACAATTGTATGAGAAGTAGCTATGATAGCTTGTCGGTCTTAATCTTATTAGTGTTGCTGCATGCATAACTGCATGTCCCCAAGCAGATACGAGAAATTTATATTTCATTAACATAGGTCTGACAATTAATTGTAGTTTTTTTTTATAAATGTTTCAGCTAGACCGTTTTGAGTACATACAAACGGTACATAATGCTCAATATCAATTCCTATAAACATGAAATAATCATCAAAGAATTACCAACGTTGTCAAGACAAATTTTATTTATTGGGTGAGTTGAAAACTGTGCTCATAATTTAATTATTTAAGCAAGCAACCTTGCAAATGTCAAATTGCGAGTGGATAATAAACATATATGCAACCATCTAGTAGATGCATTGATAAGTACCATAAAATATTTAAATAGTATGCGACCATCTAGTAGATGCATTGATAAGTACCATAAAATATCTAAATAGTCTGTATGGTGGATCTATTGGTCCGTATATAGCACCTTGAATTTGTTAGGTGACATAAACCACAAACCGCATTCTAGCAGCCCTAAAAGGGGGAAGGGTTAAGGATTTACCCGGTGTAATATAAAATTGGAGGGGATTCAGTTCTCACTTTTATTGGTGATGGTTTAGTTATTAATTTCTCTTTTGAGCAAACAACATATGTCAGCTTATTTGTATTTAATACCTTTTGAATTTTCAAATTATGACCATGGGTATTTTCTAAAATTTGCCTCATCATAATATTACCGGAATGCCCAAACCGGTCATGCCAAATTATAAAATATGTAGACTCTAGGTCTACTAAATATGTTTCAACTGTATTAATCTTTGTGTAATATAATCCGAAAGATAATTTTTCTAATATATATTTGTGTCCAATAATGAATTTTGTAATCAACAAAAATTTATTATTTGTCTTATTTGATGTCCAATGTGATATCCATTTATGCGAATATCATTAAAACTCAACAAATTTCTTTGAGATTTGCTAGAAAATAGTGCATTTTGGATAAATTTTACTCATTCGGGGAGAAATATTATTGCTCTTCCGGAACCCTCAATTAATTTCACATAACCATCTATAGTATTCACCTCAATTTATCCCAATTTCAGGTTGGTAAAATATTTCTTATATTTTAGAATGATATGATCAATGAGGCATAAATTGTCTTCCATATTATTCATTGTAGTGCATTCATCATTTATATTTCTTCTTGAAGAAATATCACAAAATAAATATATCAGAAATTTAAACAAAATTAATAACTGTTATATTATTACCAAATATGAGGTAAAAATAATTATATATAAGGAGTTTCTAATATATATTATTACATTGCACCTTTAAGGTGTTCAAAATATAAATCATCCGAATTTTTAAAACATCCACCTTCAGGGTCTTCAAAATATAAGTATCATAAATTTTAAATATGTACCTTTAGGGTACGCAATATATAATATTGGGGGATTTCATAATATGCACCTTCATGGTGTTTAATATATATCTCAATATACACCATTAGAGATTTTAAAATATAAATTTTCAAGGTTCTCAATATACACTTTTAGGTGCTTAATATACACCATCAAATATTTTTAAAATATGAACTTTCAGGATTCTTACAATATAAACCTTCAGAGTTACCAAAATATTTATCTTCTGGGTATATAAAAAAAATCATACATCTAATTGTGTGTTAATAATTCAATATCACCACCACTAGCATTATTTTTCAGATTTATTTACTAAATATTGGCATCTTCAGGTGCCGTTTTCTCTATAATAGCTAGTGAAAAAATTGAAAATTTATGTTAGTAATAATTTTATTGAAAGAAAATAATTAAATAAATAACTCAAACTTTTGGCAGAGCTTCCGCAACACTTTGATATTTTTTTATGATATTCGGGCAGAATTTCAAGATATTTTTTTTATTCTCTTCTAATGCAAATTTTGCAATCTGTTTAAATTGATTTAAAAAATCACAAAAAAATATGTTATCTGCAAAAATTCGTACTAATAACATGTTATAAAATATATAAAATAAGTAGATAAATTAACTATATAAATAAAGATATGTGTATAGATATAACAATATATGTGTTTACTTTGTAAATTGAGAGAAGTATACATATTAGATATGTATATATATATATATATATTTGTGTGTTTGTATATTTGAGAGAGAGAAAAGAGATGAGAATGAGAGAGAGATACAAGTATTATATTTAAAATGTGTGTTTTGAAGAGTTCAAATAACATGCATTATATTGAAAATGTGTTTTTTAAACTCTTGATAAGTATTTTCTGAATTTTTGATGGCTCTATGAACTCTTGAATTGATGTTATTTGTAGAACTAGTAACACAATATTAAACGTAATATAAACTACACTGTACATACTTCTGTAAAATACAATATATACTCTCACTAATTTTAAAAAATAAATATATAACTCACGTTTTTATTTCACAAAATACAATGCTATTTGCACTAAAAATTAATGCTATTTTGGAGACCCAAATCAGCACAACAATGGATCTGTACAAACATTGTTTCAAGAATCACAAAACTAGCATACTTTTTCAACACAATAATTTCGTGTGTATGTGTATATAAATGGTTTATATCATTCGTTGTTGGTTATACGTTAATATATAAAAATATGTCATTGTCATTAGTGTATTCACTTAAGCTATTGTTTTTTACATAAATAATCTATTAAAAATATCATATAAATTTATATTTTTTTATAAAATATTAAATTAAATATATTTTTTAATTATTTATTATTTAATTATTTTTTCTATTTTTACTTTTAAGCTCCCAAAAGTTTGGTCTCAACGGAGCTTTAGCCCTCCACAATTTTATACACCTTCTGTCATGTAAATTTATACCTATTTAACCAAACACAACTTTTAAAAGAAAAAAATAAAAATATATAATTTTTCTTTTCATGGTAAAAAAATAGTATAAAAAGTAATATTTTTTTACTAAAAAAAAAAAAATAATAAATTTAAATAACAAAAAAATAGGAATAACTTTAAATGACATAGAAAGTAGAATACAATACATATATATTAATCATACGAAAATGAAATAAAAACCCATCCATGAAGAAACAGTAACACAGCCTACCCTAACCTCAAAATCAACGCAAGGCTTGACATCACACATTCACACCTACAAACAAACAAAACATACATGTCCGTAAAAAATGACTTAGTGGCGTGGGATTGGATTTATGATCATTAAGTCATGAGTTCAAACCCTTGATGTCTCTAGGTTATCTGCCATACATAGTTCGTCTAGTGTGATTTATCTGTCGGGCCAAGGGTATTAAATTCGACCTAGGGTTTACCCCGTGCGCAACTCACATAAATACATAAATATATAAATTGCATAAACACAACAAATTTTTATATAACAACCAAACAAACAAACTACCATTTCTGCCCACAAAAATTAAAGATCGGGCCAAGCGACATACCCGGTAGAATCATGCATCCGCAATGGCCTGGCCTTGCCTTCACGATAATCGCCATCCTAAAATATAAATATAAATATAAATATCAATATCAATATCAATATTCAAGTAGTAGAATGCAAAGCCCCTTCCACGTTTTCCAGGCAAGCTACCAGATCTCTATACTCCTTTGTGTCGGACCAAATATCTGTCGCCTGTTTAATATTATTTTTTAAGAGCATCTCGGCAGCAAATAGTTCCTTACGGGTGTTGCCACGCCGGGCGACTTCTTGGTACACTTTACACAGCTCCAACGAGGCTCGTGCGAATCTTACAAACCGCTCCCTGTCTTTCCATAAATCGGATCCCTGATACGCTCGGACTTGTTTCAGTAGGGCCTCCGAGCACATTGCAAGATCACCTTTCAGTTTGTGCCACCTGGCGTACAGTCCCCATGTGTCGGGGGGGCTCCCACCGCTTTGAACAATCTGTTTCAAGATTTTACCAACAAGCTCCATCAAGTGATCAGTCTCCCGATTTCTAGTAGAGTCGTAAAGTGTACCACTGTTGCTGGCTATATTTGATTCAACATCAGTATTTGCTCGGCCCTCGACCTCTACCATAATTCTTTCCAACAGCTCGGAGTCGACTCGTTTCCTTTTGGTCATGTCCAGCACCTTTTGTATGGCTTCTATTGCCTGTGTAAAGTTCCCAATATCTGCAGCGACACGGCTGTAATTTTCCCACATCTGCCAGCTGTCCCGCTTCAGCTTAAGAGCTTCTTTGAACGCAATGAAAGACTCTTTGCTTCGATTTTTAATCATATGCAAACAAGCTATGTTATTCCAAGCCTCTCCATTTTCCGGATCGAGTTGAACAGCACGTGTGAAAGCATCCAGCGCCTTGTCGACGTCTCTCGATTTTAAGGCGGCTGCGCCGAGTGCGAACCAGCCATCCGGATACAGGGAATTTAAAGACATTGCGGATTCCCAGAGGGTTTTTGACTTGTCATAATCTCCCCGGTTGTACAAGGACCGAGCAAGAGATCTGAATGCTCGTGCAGACCTCCTTCCCGAGACGTCAAGGGCTTTCTCATAGGCAGTGTCGTCGTCAGTAACATCGCCAAGTGAACACCACAATCTCGAGTCGAATGGCTTCTCAAGCAGGCGTTTCTTGATGAGATCAACGGCTGCAGTTTTCTTATCCATTAGCTGGTAGCAATGAATCAGGTTATCCCATAGCTCAAGATCCTCGTATATTTTAAGGGCTTCGCCGACTAATCCGCAGCTTACTAAGAGATCACCATACTCCCTGAGTAGAGAATTTTTCATCAGTCGATTGAAATTGGAAGTAAAGTGAGGAGAACAAATAAAGAAAGAGAAAGAATTGTAGCTAATGCAAAGCAAAAGAAAATGGATGAGCAATACGAAAAGTTAGAAACAATCGAAAGGGTAGCATACTTTCTAAGAGCAGGAATTGAAGGCATGTTAACTGCAAAAAAGTAGTGCAGTCTTTCGGGGACTCCAGGAGAAGAGCTGCGTATACTTTCAACCTGTTGGAAAATTGTACAGTGGCAGTAAAAAATATATGTGCTGATTACAGGAATGAAATTCCGAGGTGGTGTTTCACAACAAGTGCATGAATAACATGGTAGTTGTAAGAAAAGGGAACAATACACGATCGAAAGGATATGACCTTCAACAGTAAGGATGACTTTCTTTTAGAAAGAGATATCATACATCATTATGTTCATAATATTATGGAAGTTAGATCTGTTATCTTTGAGCTTTTTAGGGTTTGTTTCTTTTGCAAAAATTTTCCAACACATGTTTCCGAAAAATTCATATATTACACACATTAATCATTTTTATGTTAACTACACAATTATCTGTACATCACACCAAAATTTTTTCCTTCAAACCAAAACACAAAACACACCCTTACTTTTAATTTTTTCCAATGCAATTTCCAATAAAAACATACCAATTTTTCATGCAAAACATTACATCAACAAACTATTTATCCCAAAACAAACACACAAAGTTAACAAACCCTTAGTCTAACTGGAATATCTTTTAACATTACATGCATGATATGAAATTTAATTCAGGTTTTTTTTTTTTTTTTTTGCAATAATAAAGTAATATTGTATTGGTTAAGATGATAACACCTGAACTATGATTTGAAGAGATCTAAAAAGGAAAGGATTCCATGTTTTGTGCATCTACACAATAATTCCAGAAACATCAATTGCACTTGATCATATGAAAAATCAAGTCTGCATTATCATAAAATTTGTTCTCATTTATATTTAATAAATTAAGCATACTGCAAGATAATTAGGGTGTGCTTTTGTGTGTGTGTTTTGTTATGATGTGTTCTTGAGGGGAAGTAATTATTGGATATAATAATTTCTACAGAAAATAGATTTTGATGTATTTTTTTTTTTTTTGGAGGGGGGGGGGGAGATTGAATAGTAAAAACCAGGAGCCAAAAAACATACTAGGACAAACCGTTTCCAATAAAAACATGCCTATTTTCTATACAAAACATCACAACAAATAACTATTTACCTAAAACAAAATAACAAGCACCAAGAATCGAATATATGAAAAGAATACATCCTTTATATTTTGGAGATGACATTGTTGGAATAATGTTTTATATGGAAAATGAATGTTGATTGAATGTGATATTTTTGAACTAAAATTGAAACTCGAAAACATAATAAAAATTTGAAAAAAATCTCAAAGAGTATTAGCCTAAACATATCAATTTTTCATACAAAACATTATATTCAACTATTTCACCTAAAACACAATAAAAATAGGGTGTGTTTGGTTGGCATTTTTTTTTCAAAATTTTTACTATTCAATCTTCATGATTCTCTATAAAAATACAATATTTCATTTCACACACCAAAAGAAACCTAAACCAAAACCCACCTATTATTTTGGCAGAAATAAACATAATAGTTTCTTTTTTTGCTATTGGTTCCTCAATATTTTACTTTAAAAAATTTCTCAACAAAATAATTGAGCTTCCTACACAGTTTTGGTAAACATCACTATTCTAATACCAGGGCAGAAAATTCATACTAATAAAGAGAATTTTGTCCAGTTTATGCATATATGTGTGTGTGTGTATTTCCATCAAAAAAGGGAGGCTTCACGAATGAATATGTTCTACACTAGGAAGGATGAAAAGGCATAAATATAATTTAAAGGGTGTGTTCACCCAACAATTTTTTACTAAAATAATTCCGGATATATATTATAAAAAAATATAATATATACACACATTTAGACGATATATATATAATATATATACTCATTCTATCCACTCTAAAAAAAGACAACAATTCAACAAAAAATATTATTGTTTATATTACCAACATAATTCCCCATATCTAACATAAAAAACACATACACCAAAAACCATAAAGTTAAAACATTCTTTGTGTTTGCTTTTGTGCCTATGTTTTGAGTTTTGGTATTTTTGAAGTGAAATAGTGGTTAGATGTGATGTTTTGTATGAAGATGGCATTAGATGTGATGTTTTTAGGAAATTTAAGAGAGGATAAAAAAAAAAAGAGTAAACAAACCCTAACTGTCAGAAGCCAAATAAAAATAAAATGATAGAATGATTGTTGTCCATGACACAATTTAAACTACAAATCTATGGATAAAAAATAATGTACTTAACTGATTTCAATATGGAGTAAGATAATGCGCATGAGAAAGAAGGTTGGAAATGAAAGAACATTATAAATAATAACCTGAAGCAAAATTGTTGCAAAACATTACCAGATGATCCATCATTAGCAATGCGCGTTGCTTAGTTCTTCCACGACTTGACTCCCACCGGACACGTAATATGCTGCTGAAGCATCGGAGCTTAAAAAACAAAATAGTGAAAGGCAGCAAGGAATAATCTTAGGCCAGTGGATTTTTAAAAGCTGGACCATGAGGGTGTGAAGTATTCGAATGGCACTTACAATGAATGGAGAAATTTTTTGAGAATCAATAGCCTCTATATATGGAGCCATTTCCCATTCTGAAACAAAATGATCAAATTAGTAATGATTTAACGAATACAGATATATGTAGTAATATGAAAAGTGCCAGTAGAATCTAGAGGAAGATATCTCAAGAAAGATGTTTCCAATAGCTACACTCTATCTAGAGTAAAAAATATCAATAACTTCTGCATCCATTATAATGAAATAGCATCCTTCATCTGTCCTATCTCCTTCTAGTAATAATAGAGAATTAAATAGCTACCTGACCATGGTTCCTCTAATTAGAAAACTCGTGACAAGAAGTTTGTATATGGGCCATGGGGTTGAAGTCAAGTGTAGCAAATAGAAACTAACATAGACAAAGAACATCTCACTGGAAGAGATTTTTGCCTGTATTTAATCTTATATTTTCTTCAAATACTTACCAACATTTCTTCACAAATACTATTCACTCTTTATAACTTCCCCAATTCAGTAAAGGATGAAAGTCAAGTTCATTGGGAAATTGGACTTGTTCAGTTAGGATAACTACAAAATAATACGCAAAAGATATCAGGAGAACTTTTAAAGGATAAATAGTCACATACTTTGCAATTCATCATTGCGAGCAATTCTCTCAATTAACAGACAATGTGCCAGAATCACAGCTTGTTGAGATCCCTTTAATTGGGAGTTTGCAGCTGCTTGATATTGAACATCTTGCCCAACACATTTAGACTGTGTCTCATCTTCTATGAATCTAGGAGTCATCAATACATCAGAAGCTTCATTCATTTCAGAATGTTGCTGAAGTAGAGGAGAAGTGTCATTAATGCCTGAGTTGGAGCTTACAGGAATGCTGGGACGTCCGGTGGCTGTTTCAGAAACTAGTTGCAGTTGTGCCTTTGGCTCCACCTATATCCAATATTCATCAGTGGGCGTGCACAGATAATGTCCAAGCTAATTTCAACTATAACTTACGAAATTATACCTGATGGACAGTTCGAAAACCAAGAGCCCCACTTACAAAAAAGTTTGAGCTGGAAACTTCTGCAGCTGATTGAATATGTAACCTGAAATAAAGCACCTTTTCCCATGAAAACAGAGTTCCAAGGACCTCAAAAAGAATGTTACGGTAAGATCACTAAGGTAAGGTAAGAAATCTTAACAGTAAACACACACAATTATATCCTGGGAGAGCAGAAACACAAGTCAGGGATTGAATGAAACCTATTCAGTAGTTTGTGCAGTTGATCTCATGCAACAAAGACAAGAAAAGGACACCATGTTGCACAAAAAGAAGGGCAAATAATATGAACTATTTGCTGAGCATTAATAAGAAACTGTACAACACTGAAGGTTATCATGATAGGGTCACTCACTACAGGCACACAAACTGATTCAAGCTTTCAGATTTGACAATACCAGGGCATATTGCATTCTTCAGCAACTTAATGACATAATCTTATATCACAGAATGTTTCTACTGATTGCATTTTATGGACAAGGACCAAAGATTTGAAAATTCAGACCATTATAGTATATATGACAACAAAAAACTTCATGATTGCTCTATTTCTAAAATGAAATCGAAGTATAAATTTGAGGGGGAAAATTCTAAAATGAAATTGAAGCATAAATTTGAGAAAACAAAAAAAAAAAAAACACCACTGCTGTCAGTATAATGAATGATTAAGGTTTGTCACTCAATTAAAGGAGGCCATGACTCACTTGGAAGCATCTACGCGCCCATAGTAAAGTTCCAGGATCTCTACTTCCAAACGAAGAATTGATAGAATAGTTGAACAACCTTCACCAACGCACCAGTAATCTTTTATCTTCTCCAAGGTTCCAAGATGAAATAAACTTTCATGTGCATAAACTTGTAATAAATCAAAAAGTGGAGAAGATCGCTCATCCAACAACTTTTGATGCAAGAACAAAGCTCTGACCAACCACCACCAGATGCTTCTTACTCCATAAATTGAAGACAAATTTCCTTCAAATAGCACATCTTTTGTTCTTTCTAGCAGAGTCTTTGCAAAAACTAAGTACTGCAAGGCAAAGACAACATATAAATTTTGATTCATATATGAATAACACGTAAAACTGCGGCCAACTATCATATACATACACAAATAAATAAGTGAATAGAAAATTGTAGCTAGCAATAATAAACTGTGGAAAAAAGTTCTTGCACAAAATAAACGAGCAAACGATACTTAAAATAAAAGTTGTATTTTTTTTTCAAAAAACATCATATCAACTTACTATTTATATCACATCACAACTCAAAATTTTTACTATTCCCAAAACACCAAAACACAACCACACCTTAATCTGTCCAACTGCATGGTCGAAAGTTACTTGAATGATGTTTAATGGCTACAAAGCAATGAATTGACAGGGCAAAACTGAAAACTAATTGCACATATCTTGCACAACTCAGAGTCAAAGTCAAAATAAAATGAAGTTGAATTCATATCCTGACAAATAACAAAATTCTCAATAGTAACTATTGTGACAATTACAAGAAAAAATAATAGTTGAATGCATTTGAATAATAAGCAACTAGAAAGGAACCACGGACAATGCAAACAGTTTTTCATTATTGGAAAAAGGTAGAACTAAATTTAATGATGAAGCTGCAAGTACCTGCAAATTTTTGAATTTTCCAAGCAAGTCGGAACCAACAGATGTTAGCTCTTTAAGCGCCCATGCTTCCCACTCTATCCAATCAACACCTCCAATTCCATATTTCTGTGTTAATAGATTCACCAGTGGCATCAAAGGAAGGTTGTCCGATGGCCTGATACAGGTGTCCAATCAGCAGAAAATTGGTGTTTATATTTGATCTCCTTGCCTAAAATAGGCGCATAATATGCACGTCCGTGTGTGTGCAAGTAGATGTAAAGAAGCAAGCTGTATGATATATTTTAAAATTCAATAAAACAACAATGAAGATTTAAGTGAGCCCAAATTAATGTGAGCGCTGAGTCAAAGTGTAATTGTTGTTGCTTTACACCTATAATCATATGGTGTTTCTGCCAAACACCATGCCGCAAGCATAGAAAAATAACTTAGATGCTGGTGAAGGGGGCATTCTCGAAGGTATTCTCTGAGCCCCAGTGAGGAATAGGGCATTCAGCAATATGTTAAAGCCAAAATTGCTTCACACGTGAGCATTCACTCTCTAATTTGAATATGTCTATAATGTAAACAGGAATATTCATTCTTCTGGAAACCAACTTAGGAACATCAGCTCCTAAAACAAATTTGGATTATTTGACATTTTTATTGTTTTGAATTTTGCAAAGCAAATGCCATGTCACCCTTCATTATTAGTATTGTCGAAAATTTCTCTCGTATAGTTATATTTTTAGTGATAGGGGCATCATAAGTGGAGTTCAACCAAGGTTCTGCCTAGGTACTTTGAACTTCTGTCCATCATAAAGGCACAGCTTTTGAAACACCATTCAGTGGAAATTAGAGGAGACAAAATTTGTACTAGAAAGATATTTTTATAGCAGACAACCAACCCAACTGCCGTGGTCGATAATAACTTCTCCATCATAACCTAACATATAATCATTAAAATAAAACTTTAAGCAAAAGTAAGAATTCAAACAATCAAAACGAGATATATTTCTCCTAAAGGAATGGATGAATTTGTCACAAAGAATTCATTATGAATAAGGCCGCATAGCTCAAAAGGCAATATTCTTTGACAGTCTTGCCAGCATTCTTTCAATAAATCAGATTGCCTATTAATATCATGACATTACCCTAGAGGAAACTCGCATTTTCACAGTTAACACTTAGAAAAATTATATAATATTCAAACATATATTGACTCGATATGACTTTGAGCCACGAACCTACCTAATAGACGGTCAGGCACATGATAATCAAACATGGTGCAAAACGTGCATCATCTTGAATTTTGAGCAAAAGATTCAACACAATGTCATTACATTTCCGCAGGTTTGAACAAAGAAAATCCTACACACCCATACAGACAATCCAAAAATGAAGATATAGCGAGATACTCACCCTGTAAAATTGCACTGAGTGAATGCAAGCAACGCAGCAACCCCAACCGCCATTACAAGCAGCGCTTTATACCTCAATTCTCCCGAGTCCTGACCAGAATTAACATCCAAAAACGAGCGTACGCACTCGGGGAGTATCTCGCGATAGAAGAACTCAGCTGAACTAACCGAATCCAATCGCAGATCCCTAAACAGTGCTCGCGAAGCGGCGGACGAGGCGACAGCCTCGACGTAGCAACCTGATTCGATAAGAGCAACTACATCACTTACCAGGCTTGGGAGACTTAGAGAATCAAGGGTCAAGGCTTCGCCGATCGGCGGCGGATGTTCCGCCGGGAGAGAACAGCGGAGGAGGCGGAGCTCCAGGGCGCGGAGCAATACGGTGTCGTTTTCGGCCATCCCAATTGCAGAGAGAGAGAGAGAGACTGTAGAAGGAAGGGTTTAAGCTAAGGCACAAAATGGAAGGAAGGGTTTTAAGAATTGGGGGTTGGGCTGGGTTCTATTCATTGGGCTTTCTAATTTGGGCATTAAAATGATTATAAAAATTTGGGTGTCTTTTATTTGATCCTAAAAATCAATCCGAATCAGAGAAAAATAAAACTTTTGAGCCTAAAAATTAAGCATGTGTTATAATTATTATTATAAAAATATTAATATTCTTAGTGCTAATCACTATTACATATATTACTCCCTCCGCACAATTTCTATTATTCTAAAATATATTTACACAATTTTTTAGGTGATTGTCTTTTTGTTATGAATTGACAAATTTACTTTTAATTGTATGGTAGATATTAAAAGTAATAAACTAATGAAGGGTAAAAATATAAAAGTTGATGTAAATTTTTCAACAATAAAAAGTAAAATCCGAAAATAGGAAAATATCTTCGAATTTGATATAATTAGTGTCTGAGGTTAGGAATCTCTAAACACTGTAGGATACATAAATAAAATAGGAAAATAAAACTACAGACCGAAAAATAAAGTGGTGATCCCCAAAAGAAATTCTCTTGAATTTGATGTCGATTGAAGATAAAAAATTCAAATCCTTAAATATTCCTTCAAGAAAACGTTTCAGAACCGTCGCCAGCAACCGCCGTCAACCGCCCACAACGAAACGTTTTGAAACGTCGTCTGGTCGGTTACGGCAACCGTCTCGCCAACCGCATAACCCAACCGACCAATCCAGAGACTAACTAGTCGCTAGACCAAACGACTCCTTGGTCGCCCCATCAAGTGACCACCCTCTGGTCTTTCCAGACGATTCAATGGTCGCCCCAACCAAGCGACTTAACTACTGTTCACTTAATTAAGCAACTAATTAACAGACCTTCACTTGGTACAAACTCCGTATTGGTCGACTCAACCGATGGCGGACCAACCGACTGCGAACCAACCGACTGCAAACCATCCGATCCGACTGCAGACCATCCGACCGCGGACCTTCCGACCTGTCTGTCCGACCGCGGACCTTCCGACCTACTTATCCGACTGCGGACCAACCGACCTGCCTATCCGACCGAGGACCAACCGACCTGCCTGTCCGACCGCGGACCTTCCGATCTACTTATCGGACTGCGGACCAACCGACCGCGGACCGACCGACCTGAATGCATATTTTCTCCTTTTCCGTCTGACTTCGTGTCCTAACTTCCTTTAAGATCCTGCTACCATTATTATTATTATTACTATTATTTTTTGTACGTAACAATAAAATTTGTGTTTAAAAAAAAATTAGACAATAGTAGTTGGACGTCCCAAATAAAAAAGTAAGACATTAGTTCGTGGACGGATGAAGTATAATATATATTAGTGTATGTAGTAGGAGAAAGATGCAGTAAATAATGTTAATAATTAGCACATATATATATATATAATTAGCCACCAACTTTCAACATTAGATATATTTGTTTAATTGTAATGTATCCCATATTCATGACACGTAGTGTCTCATTATGTGTATAACATTTATACTTGGATAGTTTACATAAAAAATGTGTCTTGTTAAACTTTTATTAAGAAAAATTCAAGTGGGAAACATATTCCAGTGAAATAAAAAGAGTGCAATCGTTTTTGTTTTGTTTTGCTCCTCTTGATTTGAATTTTAGTTGAGATCTTTAAGTTAACGTATTCCAATTTCTTTCACCAATTTGTTTAATGTTGATGTTAGTAGAGCCTTCATTAATAAATTGTAAAATTGTCAGGTGACCAAATTTGTTGCACATTGATTTCACCATTCTTTTTAGGGTGTGTTTGTTTGAAGGTTTAGATTTTCGATTAAGATTTGAATAGTAAAATTTTTGAATTAGAATAGTTTTATGATGTGATATAAATAAGTATTTGATGTGATATTTTGAATGTAAAATTAATTTTTAGTATCATATAAAAAATAAAAAAAAAATGTTTGATTTGATATTTTGGAGAGAAATTTTTCTATGAATAGTGGAAGTCTTCCAAAATCCTCCAAACAAACACACCCTTGAGAGTCATAAGTAAAAACGAATTTTGGTGAAATATGTTTTGTTCAATCTCTAATATATTAACCATTTAACTAAGCAATTCAAGCTGCATTGTCTTCATATATCATTGTTGGGCATTTTTATTTTCAGACATTAACCCGCAATTTTTTTAATATGATGGGTCATTAACCTCAAACAAATATATTTCGATTGGCTTCATGAATATCCAATACTTCGGCATGATTTGATAATGTGGTGGTTATTGCCTTTTTGTGGATCTCTAAAAGATCACATTATCGCCGCATGTTAATATATAGTCGGTTTGCAATTTTTCTTTATGTGGGTCAGACAAATACCCAACAGCGGCGTAGCCTAATAACTCGTGTCAAGAATTATTCTGATAAAATAGACCGAGATCACTTCTTATTTGGAGATAACGCAAAATATGCTTAACTTCATTCCAATGTCGTTGTGATACCCCCGGAGTTGGGCCGGTGTTAGGCTAACTCCCGTGGATGAGCCGGTGTCAGGTCATCTGAGATTGAATAATAATTATATGGATTGAATAGACTACTCATATCATCAATGTGCACATTTTTTTCGGGAGTCCTACTGAAAGAACTCTAGAGTTAAGTATGTTTGTCCTAGAGTAATTTGAGAATGGGTGACCAATTGGGAAGTCTTATAGGGTACGCGTGAGTAAGGACAGAAGCACGCTGGAATGACTCGTGTTGATTTGTAGGGTCAGTCTGCAATTCTAACATGCCCGAGTTAGCATGGCTTGCGGGCCCAGGTGTCATAGTTGGTATCAAAGCCAACCTGCGACAGCCTACAGTTGTTGACTGGACTGGTGACGGATCTAGCAGTTGACAATCCTTAGGGTATAACGTGGACGTTGCATTCTACAGTGGAAGAGGATGTGATACCCCCGGAGTTGAGCCAGTGTCAGCCATTCAAGATTGAATAGTAATTAAATGGATTTAATATATTACACATATTAACAATGTGCATATTCTTTTTAGGGAGCCCTACTGAAAGAACTCTAGAGTTAAGTGTGTTTGTCCCAAAGTAATTTGAGTATGGATGACCCATTGGGAAGTCTCCCATGGTGCGCTTGAGTGAGAATAGAAGGGTCTAGCAGTTGATAATCCTTGGGGTGCAACGTGGACGTTGCATTCTAAAGTGGAGGAATATATGATACCCCCGGAGTTGAGCCGGTGCTAGGACAACTCCCGTGGATGAGCAGGTGCCAGGCCATCCGAGATTGAATAATAGTTAAATGGATTAAATATATCACACATGTTAACAATGTGCACATTCCTTTTTGAGAGCTCTACTGAAAGAACTCTAGAGTTAAGCGTGTTTATACTAGAGTAATTTGATGATGGATGACCCCCTTGGAAAGTCTCCCATGGTGCGCATGAGTGAGGACAGAAACATGCTGGAAGGACTCGTCTTGATCTGTGAGGTCAGTCTGCAATTTTGACATGTCCGGCTTAGCGTGGCTTGCGGTCGGGGTGTCACAGTCGTTTAGTAAAAGATGAACTAAATCTAGTCAATAATTTTACTACAAATACAATGTCTAGTCTTGTGTTATTTCTAGGTACATGAGTACACTTATTACTTTGGAGTATGGTACTTTAGGACCAAATATTTTTCCATCATCTTCTTTTGGTCTAAATGAATCCTTGTTAGGATTAAGTGACATGACGATCGTTGAAGTACTCAATGAATGTGTCTTATTTATATAAAATCGCTTTAATATATTTTGGGTATAAGTCATTTAGTGGATGAATATTCCATTATCCATGTATTCGATTTGTAAACCAAGGCAGAAGTTTGTCTTTCCAAAGTTTTGATCTCAAACTCCTTTTTAAAATATTTCACAGCTGATTGGAGCTATTTAAGAGTAAGGTGTTTAGCCTGATCTCAAGGAGATAAAAAAGGAAGAAGAAAACGAAATCTCCTCTCCCTCCACCAAAGAAGAAGATAAAAGTAGTTGGAGAGGAGATTGTCCGAGTGCCAGCGGAAAAAGAAGAAGGGTGATAACTAGTTGATGGTGTATATATAGTCACAGGGAATTTTCATTCGAAGATTGATATGTAATGGATTATAGAAAACGATTAGATATAGTAAAAATTTGTGGTTGTAGACCCTGAATTGTTATCATAATTATTTATACTCTTTGACTGGTGAGTTTTCAGATCGAACACAGGGATTTTAAGTCACAATTTTCAATCAAGTATTGATCTTATTAAAAACGGCGGAAATGCAGTAAAAGGACCCACTGCAAAGTGGGTCTAAATCTTAATCTAAAGAAAGTTGAAAATGAAAGCGGTAAAGAGCGGACCGGTGGCGAGCGAAGCGGTGTTGAGCGGGCAAGGTGCCAACGATGGATGAGCAAGAGGGACATGGACGGATGGCATAACATATATGTATATAGATTGAGCGGTAGAGATTGAAGGAGAGGTGTTGCGTCTGAACTGTACGTTACTTAATGGCTAGGTTTTCCTGGAGGAAGTGAGCCAGCAGTGCTGGTGTTTAAGGAATATTGATATTATATTGATAGTGGGTAAAAAGTATAGGTAAAAAACTTTTTTGCCCTTGTGAGTGTATTAATGTAAAAAGTAGTGACAATTATGTAATAATAATGAAAGAGTAAGGGTAATTTTATAGTGATATAGTTATTTATGGAAATAAAACTACTGTTTTAGGACGGACAAAAATAGTAAACAAGACTATTGTATTGAGACGAAGGAAGTATAATATTTATATATAATAGGGTAAACTGTTTTTTTAGTCTCGTAATTGGACCCCCTTATCATTTTAGTCTTGTAAATGGAGCCTGTCGCAAACTAGTCCCACAAGTGAAAAATTTTCGCTGTTTTAGTCCTCTGGCACCGGAGATGCCCGCGTGGCTCGCCGGAGGTGACGTGTCCGCCAGGTGTCGCTGACTTGGCGGACTCGTAGATTTTTTTTTTTTTTA